CCGTTCGGCCCGAATCTCTCCTGATTAGGTCCCGTCTTCGGGGCTTCCGACCGGAATGGCCTACCGTCCCGTGAAAGAGACCTCCTCTCCGGGAGAAAGCAGGGAAATTCGGGTAAGCGTCGATCGGCTGCAACGATTAGGAGGAAATTCCGAGACAGGGATCCCCTTCCCCTTCCGTTTCGTGGGAGGGCGCGGAAATCGATTCGCTCCCCTTGAACCTGAGGGGGCGAAAATGGGACGTCCCTCCGGTTAAATCGTTCCGACTGTTGCTGCCTTTAAATCGAATCTGATTGAATTCAATCAAGCCAGGACGAAATCCTCATTTTCTTCCCGCCGATCGACTAACGGGAGGTCGGGGCAGGGCCCGGGCCCGAAAACAGCGTCCCGGTCCGGGCCGACGGCGATTCGCTTTCGGATTAACGGTGCCGAGCGCGAGAAAATCCACGAGAGAGCGCCTTGGACGCGACCTTGAACCGCGGCGGGGCCGCGGGCGGTCCTCCCGTTCGGGCGGTGCGCCCGAAACGCGCCGAATGGCCGGCCGCGGCCTCCGTCCCCTGGTATATATACCGATATATGTCTACACACCCGCGGGCGCGCACGCGCACGCGTACCTGGACCGGGAGGAGAGCGCGCCGCGCTTCTGACTCACGACGGAGCGTCCGCATGGGTCGTCGACCCCGAATCCGGCGGCGTCCGTCGACGCCCGAGAGGAACGCGACCGGTCGAACCCGAAGACCGCCCGTGGGACTCGGTACCTTCCGACTGTACCCCCATCGGATTAAAGTAAACGCTACCTATCATATTTCTACTAAAAAAAAAAAAAGTCTCGGAAATCTTCAAAAATCCTCGAAAATTGGACATCTTCGTCTATTCCGGCCCTCCGTTCGAAAGAACCCGCGAATACCCGACAGGAAGGGTCACGTGACTCGCGGGGGGTTCGTTGAATGGCCCGCGCGAGGTCACGTGGCCGCGGGCCAATCAGCGCCGAGATGGATCGCCGAACCTCTCCGGGGTATATAACGGCGCGCCAATCGGAAAGAAGGGCAGTCGCGGTCCCACCCGCGAGGCGCACGCGGGTGCGCTCGTTTGCGGGATAAAGGAGAGCCGCGCGTAATCATCCGCGTTCCCAAGGCGGCCGTGAATTACGGGCGATCCATTCTTGACGGTAACTCCCGAGTAACGATCTCGCGGCCCGCGTTTTTCCCGTAAAAATGGAGCCGGCGCCGCTCGTTCTCCCTCTCTCTCCTTCTGGTCGGTGATTATTCCTTTTCGCCGCTCTCACCCGGTTCTCCCTCGACCTCGTGCGATTTTCACCCCGCCGCGACTCGGCGAATCGATAGCCCTTCCCGGGAACTCTCGGCTCGATTTCCGCCTCCCCGTTTCGCGCCTTCTTCCCCGCACGCCGTGATTCCGATCCCGGCGAGATAAGTCGCGCCGCGATCCCGCGACCGGGAATTAGGGCCGCGGTTCGCGACTGCCGCTCGTGCAACGCGAAACTGTAGCGTGTCACGGTGCCGCGCGGAATGCCGCGCCACCGGTTACGAATATAACCTGCTCTATCCGCGACAAATAAACGGGAAAGAGGCAGAAAGAAGTCCTCCGCCCGCGAGCGCTAGGCGAGAGTCGCCGAATAAATCGCCCCGGATACGTAACGATTGCAACACCGACTTCGCTCTCCTCCTCCGGGTTAACCTAACCTCTAACTTCTCAACGCCAAATGGAAACGACGGGGAAATAGCGGCAGGGTAGACAATGAGACTCGACTCCGAGTTTACCGACGGCTCCATAAACTTCCGCGCTACCCGGGCAGGAGAGAGAGAGAAAAAAAAAAGGAAACCAAAGTAGGGAAAATTGAAAAAGCCGAGAAGCACGGAGAGAAAGTTCCCGAAGAGAGGTTAGAGGACAGCTGCGCTCCCGGGGCCGGTTCCTCCCGACCCCTCGACCCCCTTCTTTTTTTTTGTCCGCGGTCCCAGGTAGGAAATCAAAGGCGAATTTCGAGGGCCTCGGAAAAGAAAAGCGGCTCCCATCGGAACGCGTTCCCGGAAAAGAGACCGTGCACTTCGCGGCGTACAGGAAGCCCGCCAAACTCCCGACCTTGGCCACCCCGGCCAGTAGTGAATCGCCTGTCCGCGCGAGATGACGTATTAGAGGTTAGCTTAAATTTCTGAAAAGTCATCATTGACCTCGCGGGCGGTCTTTAACATGGCCAGGTTGAAGTCATTCGAAGTTAGACGAAATTCCAGAAAAATCGTCAATGACCCCGGGTCGCTTTTTTTTTTTTTCAAGATACAAAGCGGTTGAAAATAAGGACAAAGTTCCGAAAAGCGGATTTAAGACTCGAGCCATCGTCAAGAAATAGACGGACATCCCACGCTACGTCTGTCGTCGGGACGAGCGTGTCCCGTGAACTGAGGCGATCTCGTTGTCACGCCGTCGCCACTTCCTATCTCTCTCTCTCTTTCTCTGAATCATTCGCAGATGTGACGACACGTGACGTAGATGCCGCTAGCTCGGCCAATAGGAAGGCGCGCGGTCCCGGTGGCGTCTTCCGTCCGCTCGAACGGTGACGTCGCGTGCCTCGTGACGTCGCTCGATGAAAAACCCGACTCGTGACGTCACTTAAAGAAAAACCCGACTCGTGACGTCATTTGAAGAAAAACCCGACTCCTGGAGCGGGACTCGGGAGATCGGAAACCGCGGACGACTCGACGCCCTCCCCTCCCCATCTCTCCCCGCCCACGACAAGTTTAAAAGTCCCAGCCGACCCGACTTCCGGCTTTCCAACGTCGCCCGAATGCATCGCCTCGCGACTCGATATCCCCGTATAAAAAAATACAAATACTCGAAATACGAGTTTCTTCCTTGAAACTGGAAAGAAAAAAAAAAAAACAATACGCCTCAATCCGGTACCCAAACAATGACTACCAGACAGGGGAGACAATAATCACCGTACTCCGCCAGTCCTACAAAATCCTCGTGTCGAAAAATCCATTCCCTTTCCATGCCTAACAAACGCAAAAAAATAAATAAATAAATTCACCTAACCTTCCCAACCCCCCGTTAAATAAATATCCGCCACTCCCATCCTCCATCCGCTCTTCCCGAGGCTGGGGCACTTGTTACAGGCGCGTCCCCAGGTGTGCTCGTCGGTTATCACGGTAAGACGTGTGTGTGTATATATATATATATATATACATATATATATATATATATGTATATACATACACGCGTTATCGCAGGGCCGCGCCAATCTCGAGAGGCACCGGGGCCGCGTCGCGCTCGCGAGTCCCCTCGGGTCACGTGCCCCGTTTACGGTATCGCGTCGGTCTCGTCCGCTCGCATCCGCGTAGCGGCGAGCCCGGGCGCCATTGGCGCGCGCGCGTCCGGGGTATATCGACGGGGCCTAATCGGGCGGCGCGGGGAAGGGGACGGTTAGGAGGGAGGGGCGGCGCAGGTTAGGCGCGCCTTCACCCGGTCACGTAGGCCGTCGCCGGAAGAGCGGAAGGAAGGAAGCGCGGGGCGGGGAGGTAAGGGGAGGGGCAGGCAAAAGACGCGGAAGCGGGCGTGGGGGGGGCGACAGGGGAAAGGGGCGCCTCGGCCGGGCGAGCCTCCGTCGCGACCGTTTTGCCGTGGGGCAATTACGAAATGGCAATTAACGCGAGAGGCTCGCGTCGCGTCTCCTCGGTTATACCGTCGTGGGCACCCACCATTTAAATCGCCAGGGTCCCCCGGGAGCCGAGGGGCGCGGGCAGGGCTCGCTCGTCACGTAGGCGCATCCGAGACAGCGGCGACGCCAGTGGCCGGAGCCAACGGAAAGCGGGCCGCTAGTTGGCCGGCCGGCGACCAACCGTGGCTCGAGCGGCCGAGGGCCGTGCGGAGCCCCTCCGTCCGAAGGAGGAACCGACCGGGGCCGCTCGCTCCGTTATCGCTTCCGGCAGGACGCTCCCTGGACCCGAGTGCATCGGACCGCCAGCGCCGCGTCCGCGATGCTGCCTTCTCCTCTCTCTCGCTCTTACTCTCTCTCTCTTTCTCTCTCTCTCTCTCGTTCTTGCCGCCGCTGAGCGCGCGCGCTCCTTCCGACGGCAGCCGAGCGCACTTCTCGGACGCGCGCGCGACCTCGCCTCTCGCGCACTCTATTCTTCTCTCGATTCGGCACTCGGACGTGTCGCGCGCGCACACCACCCGGGATCGCGACGCGGCAGTGATTCCCGCTCCTCTCGCAAGGGGCGACGGTCTCGGTCCCGAGAGAACTCCGTTAAAACCAGCTTAATTGATACGTGTAGGACTACGGTGTATGTGGCGCTTACTCTCTAATGGCAGGGGGACGCGACGAAGCTCCGACGCACGCAGAGGGCTCTCGCGCGACTGACGCGACGGACGCGAGTCAGGATGCGGGAGAGCCCCGAGGGATGGGGAGGGGTGGAAAAGGGGCGAACCGGGGGAAACGAACGCCGGGCATAGGGAGGGGGAGGCCCGTAGAGATAGAGGAACACCGCGCGTGCGCAGCGCCCTCGTTTCGAGCCGCCGACGGCCGAGTTAGCGCGTGGTCGCGCGAATAGAGCTGCACCCGTGCACCGATCCCTCCTACACCGTGCACCGCTCGGCCAGGTGTGTTGGCTACGAGCGTTACCGCCTAGCGGCCAATGGGACGACGGTTCCGCCATTACCGGTGGGAAATTCGAATCGACCGACGGCCTCTTTCGGTAACCCCCGAGGTTTTTCAGGAGATTATCGACCGAGTCGCGGCGAGTCGTGGAGGATGTGCGCGGTTCGAGGTTCGAAGGGCTCGATAATGAGATTTCGAGAAAGCGCGACGGTAGGATCGCGTAAATTATGTTGCACGACGGTTACGCAGCGGCTGGATGTGTTTTCATGGTTTTTGTATTTTTCTCATTTATGAAATGTGTACCGTTTGCGTCCACTTCGATTTCCCCTTGAATCGAGCTTCCGTTAATATGTCGATTAATGGGGTTGAGGAATAAATATCGGTCTCGACTTACCACTGAAACGCATTGAAGTGAAAGTAAACCAGGCCTTGGCCGTACAAGAAGCTCGCGTCTTTCCAGTAGTCCCCCTTAAGGGCGTAGAACTTACGGTACGCCGACATCGCTGCAAAAGATGAAAATGTACACCTTATGCGTGTTTTGTAAAGAAAAATTGACGGACGTTAGTTAAAAGAATTTGAGTTACCGTTTGGAATGATTTCGACCGACGTTCATACCTTTGCCGTAATCTTCGAGGAGCAAGTGAAAGTGACCCAACTTGCAGTAGGTCTTCGGATCGATATTGATTCCTTCGTCTTCTCTGGCGTCTTCGCCCTCTGAGTTCGCTTCGGTACTGTCGGCTTTGTTTCTCGTTTTCTCGGACTGCGCCTGAACCAACATTTTCTCTAGGTATTCTATTGCACGTAAGACGACGGCCTTCTTTTTCGACTGCTCTGGCGAGTTCAATTTTAGAAATCCAAACTGCCGGCTGGAATCAAATGCATGGGACGTTAAATATACAGTTAATATAGCCTTCGTAAAACCTTAACTGTAAATAACGTTACACCTCTGTAACCTGGTCTCGTCGAAACAAGACTACAAATGTCATCCGGTTTCACCAGAGAATCTTCAGAAAATATTGACTAGATCCATTATCGCGATAACGCGGTCGGTCGTATTCATCGCGAGGAACAAGTTATATGTCAGAAATTTCTCTTCCGCGCTACATAACTGGAATTTGGAGTAGTTTCATAAAAGGCGTGTGTAACAGGTAAAAAATTGTGTCGCCTCGGTAGGTTAGGTTAGGGCGCCATCGACTCCTCGTTTGACAGATTATCGGTCAACGAGACCGCGGCGAGAGTCGTCCTGGAATTACCTGTCCAATTCGGAAAGGATTTGCAATTCCTGGGGAGTCAAGTCGATGTCGCTCGCCCCTTGAGCCATATTCGATCCGATTCGATCTGTCGGCGGTCTCAACCTCTCGGGAAGAACCAAGGATGCCCCGAGTTCCCGGGCACTACGGCATCGTAAAACCTGCTCTCGGGAGCCCGAGGTCGCTTCTCGCCGCCTCCGGAAGGACGGAGAACGCCCGCCCTAAAGCGCACTGCCGAGAACGGAACGATTTTCGCGGCAACGAACTTCGAAATACACCTCATCGAACGAATCACCTTCGATCGCGCATCGCGGCTGATCGCGGCTTATCGCATCGCCATGAAGTCATAAATCCTGAGGTGACCGCGTTTACACCGGTGACCTTAATCCACGATATAATCACTACGCAATATTCGTTAATACCGAGCAACCTTCGGCGTAGTGTTCGAACAAAGTCCACATTACGTCCGCCATCTTGCTAATCTAGCGCGTCTCCCTCATGGCGTCCCTCTATGAAAGGCAAGATGGCGGCGGAACGCGTAGTTCCGATTGGTCCGCGCGCGGCAGCACCGGCGCGCAAGTGCCGTCTCCGATGCTCTCGAGTCTCGAATCTTCTCAGTTTCGTCGTTTTCGCCAAAAGCGATGGAGGTGAAGCCCTGCTTTTTTGCGCTCTCAGTCGCTGGCGCTCCTCCTATCTGCGTTAAAGTGGTTCATGGGTGACACGTACTTTTCGGAGTCGCATGCACGCGGGGTGGTGCGGTTCTCACGAGAGGGCGCTCAATTTTCTCACCTTGTCGTCGAACAACATGGCATCCATGTTGTCGCGATGGTTATCTCGGTCTACAGGTAAGGTCCAGCCTGTTTTTTTTTTCTCGTACCCTAAGCAATTATTCTTAATCCCTGTCGTGAAATCGCCTCGACGCGCCGCTCGGTGTCGAGGACTCGTTTCGGCATTTATGTCGTCGACCCATAGAACGACAGGGAAGACGGTCACTCCATAAATATGCGAACTCGTGTCACCCTGCTCGCGTTGACAAGGTCCGTTTGACAGGCAAGGTGCGTTCCACGTATTCACCTGCACCGAGCTAGCGAAACGTCCCAACGTCGTGAAAAAACGACCGAACGGACGATAACACCAATCGGCACGACCTGAAACCTGCTTAAAACACGGAAACCCACCGGAACGACGACGGCTGATTTTCAGGGAACTTTCAATCAGATTATAAATTCATGGCCAGATATTCTGTAAACATTGGAGTAGAGACCTCACTACGTGATTCCCTTGAGTGGTAAATATTTATTTTAACTTTCTTTTAAGTAATATTTATATCGCCTGGTTTTATGTCATTTCATTGAATTCGAATCTGCCTCTGTAGGTTAGCTCGCTCACCCACAATTATAAGAATTCAGGTGACGAGCATTTTTCTTGCCCTCCACATCATTTTTAAATATTTTACAGGCACGTTAATGCCACGGGTGTCGAAGATATTTATTTGATTACGGTATCGTGTGTATACAAGGCAATGTAGATTTTTAATATCCGTCGAGGAATGTTCGTTAAACTGGGAGAGTCGTAAGTATTCGCTCTTCCTGTGATCGGTCGATGTAAGAATTTCAAGCAAAGCTACGAAGATGTTGACTTTTTTCCTGCCTGTAGACTGTTCAAGTTGAATGAATTCTAATCAGCTGGAGTCGTACCGAGGTAAACAAGTGTTTCGATAACTGCCTTTATTGATCCGATTGTTAATGAAATGATCGGTGGGCACCTCCAAAGAGTGGATATCGAATCAATTTTTTTAAAGGCAAATACCCGGAATTTTCTGTACGCAGTTTTTAGTCTTTCTGATATTATATGGCGACACGTTTGCGAGCAGCTCGATGCAACGACACGTTTTCATATTGCCATGTAACGTCGAACGAAGTCACGATTTCGTCGGAGATACGATCGGCGCGACGAGGCGACCTTGTTGCGACATATCGACCAAAACGGAAGTCTCTAACGATTGGTCTTCCCCGCGACAGCGTGGATCGATGACAATGTTCCTGTTCGCCGGTTTGTCAATCCATCGGACTATTGGATCGACGTGAAAACACGCAAAGCCTCGAATTTACGACGACACACGGCGATCGTCGCATTATAAACGTTCCGCGGGATAACAATTTCACGAAAGTATTTTTTCAAAAAGATACCTCAAACGCGCCAATTACCACATAACGTTTCCTATCGCGCCCATTACGATAAACACAAACTGAACGACACGAGGAATTAGTCCGGTAATACGAAAATTGAAGTTAAAATATTTATGGGCATTTTTTTTTTAGTTAATGGAGTATTACTAATTTCACCGTGACCTCGTGACAAGTACGACATGCAGGGTCCGAAGAATTACGGCGATGAGGAGGCAGAAAATCGAAATAGAGGCGTTTAAGGTTTCCCTCGTAAATCACCAACGTTATCCCGCAGTCCCCATAGTCCAGGGGCGACAGGAAGAGCCCCGTTCACGCCCCTAGACTCCATGCCCGATTAGACCCCGTTTATCGAACGGACGAAGGATTACGATCTTCCGTAATCTCAGGGGGCGAGGTTCGAAAAATCGACGCCTAAAATGTGGCCACGAATGGTCATGGGTGGCCATAAATTGCCATAATTGGGAGTCTCGAAAATTCTTGGCACTTGCATAAGGTGCCCCGATGAAGACGCGACGGTTCCCCGTGCGATGTCCGATGTCCTGAATTTCTGCCCTAGGTTCGAGTAGCGATTTTAAGAGCACCGATGGCGCAGTCAAGGTAGAACGCTGAGCGTTCCGAGTGACCGCCAGGGGGAGAGGAAGGTGATGTACAATGAATTACGGGGGAGGCCTGCCGGACTGGCAGCAGTATAACGTGCCCCAGAGGAGCGAGTCGCTGGTCGGTACGCAGAATGTCAACGGGAACCACCTGTACGTGTCGAGCCTCGGCGAGCTCAGGCCCGAGTTCGAGGGTCTCGCCAAGCCACGTGGGGAGGCTTACGGGTCGAGGAACCCGCATTCACCGGGAACCCTCGCAGGAGCGAACGGCCTGGTGCACTTCCCCATACCGAGTGCCGTCCAGATGCCAGGATGCGTGAAGCTCTACGAGACGGAGATTTCGGGGAAGAACGGCGCCTCCGAGGGGACCATCGGAGGCCCGAGCAGAAACGGGTCCGTGGAGTCGAACGAGGTCCCCAGGGTCGGCAACCAAGCCTTATCGGGTCCGGTGTCGAGGACGCATCTGCCCAACATCAACGTCAACCACTTGGTCGGGAACCCCCCTCCAGGGCCCCCCAGGAACCCCACGATAGGGCCCGGCAGACAAGTCCCGTACGGGCCATGCAAGGGACCCTGCTGCGTGCCCGACCCCAACGCCGGGTATCGCCACTGGGAGAAATTCGGAGTTTTTCAGCCGAACGGGCCTTATCGGGAGAACATGCACGGCTCAGGGTATGGCCAGGTCGTGGAGAACCGACGGTATCCCGGGGGAGAGTTCAACTTCGGCAAGGAGGGGTTCGAGGGGAAAGACGTACTGGGGCCGGTACCCTTGGCCGTGGACCCCCGCAGGAGCTTCCCCGGGTATAAGTACCAGAAGGAACCCATCCCGAGTAATTACCCTTCCTCGTCCAGGGTACTCCCGAATTATCCTATCCAGGGGTACAACTTTGCCGAGTACCAGAAGTATCCCTACGCCATGAAGAACTACCCATCCGGGGGTGGCATGGACTCGCAGAACCCGGGACTCCTGAACTACCAAGACCAGAGTATCGTCGTGCAGCAGAAGTACTCGGGGCAGATGCAGTACCAGAACAGCCAGAGGGGGATCGTTCCTCCGGGGGCGAGTGGAAGCGTCGCCGGGCCCGGGGAGAACCCTTATTTCACCCAACAACACGTCAGAGAGGTCCCCAGGAAGTTCGTCAGGGATTGCCGGGAGGGCGACTTCAACCTGGGGTACGGAGCGATGGAGGCTGCGGCTCCTCTTCAGGAGGTGTACGCGAACTATCAGATGTACCAGAGGAAGATCGCCGTTCAGAAGTTCACCCTGGAGAATCATCTGAAGGAGATGTCGAGGATCCCCGGGTACCAGACGCACCCCAAGTACCAGGAGTACTTGATGAGGTACCGAGAGCTCATCACCCTTCAGCAGACCGTCGATCGGCAGAACGGGAACCTGCAGGAGGCGCAGCAACCCATGGCTTCCCCGATTGGCGGTGAGGTACAATCGATTAATCTCCAGTTCAATCAGAATGGGGTATTGATCAATTCCAGCTGCGTCGCGGATGGCTTTGCCAGTGCCCAGAGAGCTGACCCGGTTATGGGGAACGTTGGACACCAGGAACAGGATAGGTTATTGACGGGCAGGGAAACTGCACTGGAGTCCAGGAACGTCCAGGCCGAGGAACGAAATATCGACCACCCTCACAAGGTGGACCTCTCTTCGTCGTCTTCTTCGTCGTTTCAAGAGTCCTCTTCCCAGGACGAAGATCGCTTCCCCGTGAGGAGAGACTTCGGTCAGGAAGAGGTCAGCGATGGGACGTCGGGAAGAATGGGTCTAGACCCGCTGGACAAGGAGGACGAGGACGACTCGGTGCAGAGGAAGACCTCGAAGAACTTCGCCAACAAGCCGGACCTGGATGTAAGGCAGTTCCTCGCTAACTGGGGCGAGTCCGAGGACGAGGAGATCCTGGAAACCGTTCCCAGTGAACCGGTTACCATCACCGTCGCCAATTTCAGCAAGTCCACCGTCGACGTCGTCGACTTTGGGCCGAATGTCGACCTGAGCAACGCCGAGGTCTTGAAGTCCTTCGATAAGGACAGCTACGGGGAGATCGGCCTCGCGGAACACAAGGACGAGAAGATCATCGTGGAAGTTGGGGAAGATGGTTCTCCGAAAGCTGATTCGCATCCAGGTCCTCTGGAGCTCCTGGTAAACGAAAATGAGACCCCGAAGAGCGTGGAAGAGTCTGGGAGCTTACACCGCGCCGAAGACGCACCTGAGGAGACCTCGACGTCCAACGATGGAGGAGGGAATTCGGAGGCAGGCTCAGGGTTCCAGGACACCTTCATCGGGATCGGCTCCACGGAGTCGAAGAAGGACTCGTTCACTTCTCTACAGGTGGTGAACGAGTCGTACGAAGGTACCCTGAAGAGCCTCGACGCAGTGCCTTACCTCCAGCTGCAAGGTCAGGAGAAAATCTCGTGTTCTACTCTCGAGTCTTCGTCGATCGCCTGCAGGGAGGTGGAGACCCTGAAGACGTCCGACGAAAATTTAAATTCCGTCGCGGAGACCAAGCAACAGGTGTATTCCGGCTCCGGTCTGAGCTGCAGCTTCGAGGAGACTTTAGAGCGGATGAGAGATGCGAAACACCACGAGGGAAGACCTGGAGAGACGCCGACGACCCTGAAGAGCCGCACGGGCTCCTCCGAGGCGAAGTTCCTGAAGCAGGGCAGTTTCGCCAGCGAAGAGTCCCACAATAACGACGACCTCAGTCTGCCCGATTTAGCGACTTCGGAGTGCACCCCCTTGTCCACGACATTGAACACCCCGGTGCATTCCGACAGCGAGGAGAGTCCCCAGCGAGAGGTGGACCTGACGATCCCGTCGAACCCCATCGAGATCATCGGGAGCGACCAGGTGATCGGATTTCCACATTCTCCCATGAAGTTGGACGCCCCGGAGAGCGAAACCGGGAGGAAACGGTACAACGGTTCCGAGGACTTTTACTTCAAGAACGCCGAGTACGACGGAGGTTTGGAGAACCGAAAGGTTGGAGAAGACAACATCGAAGTCGCCAACGATCCGGAAGAGTCTCTTCGGCTCTGCGAGTCTACCCACGGGTCGAAAGAGACTTTGGGCCCGGTTTCGTTGCTTGGGGCAGGTGAGGATATCTTATTAGTTGAGGAAAACTTCAACGGTGCGATGGATTCTCAGGATTGGGCCTCGTCGAGCAAGAAGTACAACTTGGGGGTCCAGGAGTCTGAAGAGCCCCGTGAAATGGGTCCCAGCAAGATAGGGACCATTGGAGGACCAGGAGGTGCCGAGGGCTCTTCAGGGTCCATCGACGAGGTGTTGGACGATCATCCTGAAAAAGATCTCGGGTCGTTTCTGGACAAAAGTGGGGTTGCCGAAGAGTGTTCGTCGGAGATCAACCTTCCCCTCACTCCTGGAGGTGATCTGCGTGGGGATCGAGAGGGCGACAAGGTCGACGGTCTTCTGGAGCCGGAGATGAAGAAGAAGTTCGTAATGGACGGCGAGGGCAGCGGCTCGGAGGTGGACCCTTCCTTTTGCTCGCTGGAAGACAAGAAATCCTTGTGCCAGGAAAAGGAGTACTCTCGCACCGTCCTTGGTCAGTTGGGTTTCCCGGGCGACCCCAACATGATACCACTGATACCGGGCGAGGAAACGGAAGAGCCGAAGATGCCGGTCCAGCCCATGGAGGGGAACTGCCTGACCGCCGTCATCAAGGACACCATGCCCATCACCGACCTCAGCATCCTGGAATCCGACGAGGAGAAGCTGGACAAGGTCGAGGACATCTGGGGGGAGGTGAGGTGCATCGAAAAGGACGGCATCTCCGGGGTCTACGACGACGAGTACGATCAGCAGGACATGGACCTGGAGGAAGGGTCCACGGATGATCATCAGTCCTTCGACACGTTCAAGCCTTCCACCGATGAGAACCAGTCGACGATGGCTAGGAACCAAGGAGAAGAGAAAAAGGACCATGCCGAAGACCTGGCTAAGGAATCGGTGGAACGGTTCCACCTTAAAAACCCTTCCGATGATCTTCCCACCCTGGTAGACTACGACGACGGTCGCAGGAACCGAAAGGATGGCTCGAGTCGCGAAAACGAATTCGATCCTGGTAAGATATGTGACGGTACGTCAAGTGAGTTCCTTGGACAGATAAAATGTGAGTCCAAGGACCCTGAAGGAAAAAACGCTCGGCTTGAGCCGGGGTCGGTGCTCCGTGTTGACAAATTATCGCCCGGGCAAACGGAGAGAGGCGACTCCAGGAAGGAGAGGATAAAGCTACTGAAGGAGTTCAGGAAGATCAAGAAGAGGCCCAACTCGCACCAAAGTGCGACCGATAAAACGAGTTTGCCGTCTGCGGACGTCACTTCCGGTCCTGTACCTAAGAATACCTCGAAAAGTGCCGGTGTTGGTGAGAATTACGCAGTTGAGAGGGTCCAGAAGGATCCCGCTGAGACTTTAGCCGTGTCGGATCTTGCTAACTGCCAGAGTAACTCCCAGGAATTGCGGAACGAGTCCATCGCCATGATCAAAGATGAGGCTCCTGAAGAAGTCCCTGAAGAGTCGAAATTATGCGATGATTATGCGTCGGGCTCGCGGGGCGCCTTCGAGAACAATTTTCAGATCCAGGTGGATAGTCTGGATTTGAGGAATATGGAGGAATTTATGGAGAAAGGAGTCCTTGAGGCCGGGAACGCTGACCAGGGCGCTGGAGAGGCGAAAGACTCCATGAATATGCTGTTGACGGTGGAATGCGATTACGATTCAGAAAATTTGCATAGGCAACAAGCCTTGGAAGTAGACCACGCGATAGAGGGATTAGTCGCCTCCGCCATTGATAACGTTCATTCCGAGGTGGACGAATACCTGAAGAAGTACCAGGAACCTGAAAAAGAAACCGCTCCTGGATTCGGGCTGTCAGGTACTGCAAAACATCACGAAGAAGGGTCTCTTCAAGATCCTGATGTCATTACCGGATCATCGATAGAACTCCATAATCAAGAGCCTATCCATCCTGATTTGACCGAACAGTGCGTAGAAATTATATCCATCGGTCGGAGTCACTCCGATGCTGATGAAAATGCTGAAGAATCCTCTGTCATGAGTTATCGGGGTCCAGCAACTGAAACTGGGGAGGTTTCCGAAAACAAAGACAGCAACGCTGATAAGAGTACTGCTTATCCAGTTGCTGGGGAACTGACTTCGCCTTGCGTGCGTAAATACGTAGCCGAAGAAGTTGTTGAAGAAGCAAGGAATTTAAACGTCTCGCCAGAGGCCGCGGAGAGTCTCGACGAAGTTGCCTTATCGAACCTAGAAGACAAGATACATTCCGAATTAACAAGTGATCCTTGTAGTAACGATAAGACTAATCTTTTAACCGCCGATAAGACTAAGCCCTTAACTATCGATAACCCCGATCAGGGGTTGACCATAGGACGTTCGATCTCGCCGGATTTGCATATCGAACCGCCTAACGAATCTCCAAGCCGTCGTAATGAGGACGATAATTCCGCGTTAAGTAATGCAAACGATATTCGACATCGCTTCGCAGACAATGCACACAATAGGGACGAGGACGTTACTCGTGAGACCACGGCTAGGGAATTTTCTGGTGACCAAAAAAGAACCGCAAACGCCTCGCCGATACCTGAAGAGGACCTTGAAGACCTTCCTCAAAAAATGCATTCCAAACTCGACGAAGACCTTTGCGTCGACGAGGACCCTGAGTCAACGTCGAATGTCGAGGTCGAGGGTCGAGGAAATTTTCAATCCTTGAAGAAGGAGGAAGGAAGGAATATACATCCTGAAAAGCGGTCCGTACTTTCCGAAGAGTCCCATTCCAAAGCGAGAAACGAATTCTGTGATAGCACCAGGAGAGTGGAGGAACCTCGGGGGAACTCTTCTGGTAGTGATGTCGATGCGTGTCCAGACCTTGAAGAAGGTACCAAAGAATCGTCACCGACCGTTCCGAAGACGAGCTCGGCAGTCGAGGGTCGTGATAAGGACGATAACGGTGCATGGAGTAGTCCCAAGCCAGATGGGTACCCTGAAGCAGAACATGCAGATCTTGAAGAGGACTTTCCACTTGCCGAAGAGTCTCGATTTTTGGGAAACGCTCCCAAGGTCGCCGGAAACTTCAGCACCGAGAACACCGAAGAGGCGATCGATTTCGACAAGGACCCCTTTACTCGAGACTCGGTCGACCTTGAAATCGGTGCATCGTACCTCTTAATCGGTAAAGCTGATAAGAGTCCATTAGTTCCTGAAGAGAGGGGATCGGGGAGAGCGAAAATGAACGAAGTTCCAGAAAATGTCTCAGGTAGTTTCGAGGACTCCTTCGGACTGAACGACCGTTTAGGAACTTCGAGGGGGGCCGAAGAAGATGCCGAAGAGATCGATCCCGCGACGTCGAGGGAGATCGAGACCTTGATGAAGAGCTCGACGTCCCCGGATTTCGATGGCGATGTCGAAGCCTCCAGCTTTAATTTCGACAAGTTCGACATCGAGTCCAGAGAGGCCGACGACGTGGAGGAGGATGATAACAGCTATCAGCAGAACACCCTATCGAGCGATCGGTGGTCATCGAAGATCAGCAGCAGGTACGAAGAGTGCGAGAAGTACAAGAATCCTGATGGCTACGTGAGTCCGACCTTGGCCAACCTGAACAACGTCGACCTGAACAGCGTTCCGGTGTTCACGACCAAAGACGGGAAAATCACCTATAGCCCAAATCCGCGGTTCACTTATCGGGCTCTTATCATGGAGGCGCAAGAACGAGGAAAGAATTCCAACTCGAGGCAGGTCTGTTACCCAGATACTTATTCGCGAGATTTCTTCGGGTATTCCAGTCTACGTGAGTCGAGGTTCCGCCGGAAGAGCTCCCCCTTCGAGGAGGATCCTGAAGAGGACCTTGAGGAGGGTAGGTACGGTCGACACCGACGGGACTTCTGGAACAGGAGGCAGGCCTGCGATAGTCACTCGGAAAGGAGAGACATCTCCAGGATGAAGAGGAAAAGGGAGTCGATAGAAGAAAGACGGTGCAAAGTTTCTAAGCGAGATGAAATCTCTGATGATGAAGACACGGATGAAGAGGCAGATAGAGGTGATGCTCTGCCTGGAATTAGCAGTAAGAGTTCCATTACCGGGTTTTTGGACGATTTGTTGTTGGACAGGCTGCAGCCAACCGTACCTTGCAAATCTCACCTGGGTGGAGGGTCGATAAGACCAGGAGGAGTGAGGCCTGCTCTTCAGGGGTTTTCTTTGGATGTGGAGACCGGGCGAAGAGGTGGTTCTTCCAGGGGACTTCCTGAAGACCCCGGGGAGTCTTCGGGTTCAAGGATGAGAGGGTCATCGACTGTTCCTTTAATTTCGATGGAGATGGAAAATCCAAAAATGAAAGAGTTTAAGAGAGTCGAAGAATTTGAAGTGTCTCCTAAATTTAGCGACCTTGATGATAAGAGAAGAGAAGCTTTCGGGCCCTCTTCCCGGAAGAGAATCAGCACCGATGATTTAATCGAGAGTCCGGACGTCGGTGTTGATAAGGGAATTATTTTCGAACCTGGGAAGCATGTCGTTGGCCAAATCTGTAAAAAGGTGATAAGAGGTGATGACGAGGAATTCCATTCGACCTGTGAATCACCATTAAGGATCGCCAGACATGAAGAGAAGGTCGAAGTCGGGTCGAAGGTGATAGAAAGTGATCTCGAGGATGATAAAAAAAATGTATCTATATCAGCCGAAGTATCGATTGCGAGTATACGGGATCAAGGTAAGCCCATCGACCCTGAAGATCGGCAAGCTGTCGTGGACCAAATAGAGGAGGTTGAGGTAAAAATTGATAACGAAGCATTTTCGATGTGCGAATCGATTGCAGTTGGTAGTAAACAGGAAATGGACGTTAACGCTTCTATCGAAGACGAAAGTTCTATTTTGGATGTTGAAAAGACTGTTGAAATTAATACAGAATTTATTTGCACGGTGAACAGTGAAGAAACCACCTCGAAAGATGAGGCAGACCAAAGAGTTAGATTAAAAAAATCGCCCGAAACGGAAACTGAGTCGAAAAAAAATATCGACACGGAAGATATAACTGTTGCGACGGCAGAGAGTGGGAGCCTTGAAGAGGACCTAAAAGAAGGGAAGAATAATCTCATAGAAAATTCGCTGGACGATTTAAAAAGGGATACGAAAAATCTGGCGAAAAGAAAGAAAATTCCCGATGCCTCGAAGAGGGCGAATAAAATTGTTGAAGAGTTGGAAAAAGAATCAAGAATTCTCGAAATCCCCTACCCTGAAGAGGCACCCTCCAGTGAGGCTTTAATTCACTCTAGTCAGGAGAAAATTGTTAAAAGGAACCCTGAAGTGTCCAGTACGAAAATGTCCAAGAAAAGGGAGAGGGAACACCGCGGGAAAATAATTTCTGATAAACGGAATTCTAATGACTTGTCGGAGTCGAAGAGGTCGAAGGAACCAGGGTCTTCAGGGTCCTCGGAAAGGGACTCTGTCGCCAAGTGTAAAGTCTCCTCTCCTGTGAAACACCATGAAGACGTAATGGAAAATCGTAGTATTAATATCGTAGACGTTTCCGAGAATCTTAATAAGGATCCCGAGTCGATGGAGAGCGAGATGGAAAGTCCGATGAAAGAGTCGACTGTCCGGAGGCGCAGAAACAACGAGGAGACTTTTTCCTCGAGGAAAGAAGACCGGAATTTCGATGCGAAGGAGACGAAGAAGACGGAGAAGGAGTCCGGCACGTCTCTTCCTCCCAAGATCCCGAAGATGATAATAAAAAACATCAAATCGCGCCCCGGGACACCGATTTTGGAAAGAATCCCAGAGACCTCGAAGCGCACCTCTAAGAGCTCCACTCAGACCCAGAAGAGCATCCGAGTGTCGATCAAGCTAAAAGACGGAATGGTCGACACAGGCTCCGGAACACTATCCAAGGATATCCTGGCGAACGGTGGGAAGCTCCCAAAAATCAAGATCAAGCTCGAGGACGCGCTGCCGAAGGTGGTGATCCAGAACCTGAAGATCGACGGTACCAGCGAAGAAGGAGGGAGGAGAAAACTCGCCCCGAAGCTGAAGATCAAGAAGATAAAAAATCCAGCCTCGGCAGAAGCCGACCATCCATTGACCTCGACCTCGAAGGACCTGACCTGCGAGCAGGTCTCCAGGAAAAGGAGATCGGAGGGGAAAAGGGAAGACGAGAAGACATCCTTCGAGGAGGCGATGGATGATGCCGAAGAAGGTATAAAAAATGAAAAGCACTTGGAAAGGGACCAGGATAGAAGAGAGAAGGTTCCAGTGCTGAAGATCAGGAAACAGGACTCCAGCGACTCGGATGGGCCTCTGGAATCGAAGAAGAGGAGCAGGAGCAGTGGATTCGAGGTCCTCTCCAAGAAGCCGAAAAAGACCTTGAAGGAGAACCCGAAGCAAGGGTCGGTTTCGACCGAGAGCGACATCCCCGAAGTGAGGGACGCTGGTGAGGATCGCATTTTGCAGATTTCAGGGAAGATACCCAAGGTCATTATCAAGAGGGCTTCCTCGACTGCGGAGTTCAAGTGCGAGCTGAGCAAAGGACGTCGCAGGAAGATCCTGAAGAGCGCCAACTGGCAGCCGGAGGTGCGGCTGGAGCGATCCTGGGAGTTGGACCTCATGGCGAAGGATCTTCAGAGTCCGAGGTCGAGTTCATTGGAAGACCTTGAAAAGGACCACGGAAGGAATCGGTGCGATTCTAGGATCAGCTCGGAATCTGGACCTCGAGGTGGACTCCTCAGGTCTAGGTCGGCTTCGGACCTGACAAACCTGAAGAGCGTGGAGAGGAGGATGTCCGATAGCGGAGTCGAGCGACAAAATTCCTCGGTGGTCTCTTCAAGCTCAGCGATAACTGATGACGCGAACTCGATAGACTCTACCGTTATCACTGCCATTGGCAGGGTCAGGGACGAACTTGAAGTAATACCACGGGATTCAAAGGAGAAATCTTCGAAGGAAAAATTCAGGAGCCTCGGAAATGGCCTCGACGAGAACATGAACCCTAAGGACGTCGAAGCTGAAGAGGAAAAGCGAAGTAAACGCGAAGGGGACGACTCCAAGGTAGGAAGATCGTCGGATAAGCGACGAAAGACGAAGAGGCGAAGATCGGCTGAAGTGAGCAACATCATCGGTTCAGGATCTGCCGTAAATTCGTCCTTGAAGAGCGAACCAGCCGAAGAGGAGCTCTCTTTGAAGAAGGTGGATCCTTCTGTGGGAAGTACAATTTCTGAAGAAGAGTGCAGAACCGCTCCACTCTCGGAGGAACCGGAGGTTCCTCAGAAGAGGATCCTGAAGAGCGAGCGGGGGTTCCCAGAGGGGGATCTCGGTACAAAGGACACTCCTGATAGTGCAACTTCGTTGTATTCAAATGAAGATAAGGACCATGAGAAGCTCGATGTCCAGCTAAACGATGCCGAAGAGGAACCCCTGGCAAAGGACCGAACTAGAAACTTGGCTCCTGGGACCAATGTAGCCTTCTTCGAGTTCGAGGACAACGATGGTACCTCCGTCATCAAGATCGATTCTTCGGACGAGAGTCAGACTACCATCGAAATTCTCCCTGCCTCGCCGGATTTTGGCCGAGAACCTGAAGAGAAGCCCAGTCGCAAAACCGAGGGCGAGGTTTTGTACTCTTCAGACTCCATTCCTACGCAATTCGGGTTCGAGCTGGAAATTGGTGAGGAAAGTATCTCGGATCCTTTGGACATCCCGATACCTTTTACAGCTGAACCGAGAATTCGAGCCGGAGAGTACGTCGATTCCGTGGACTCGGTGGACTCGCTGGATTCCGAAGAGGATCGCAAACCTGGCGATTTGAGGGAAGAAGCGCCCGGAGGAACCCTAACGAGCTCTTCAGGGGTCCAGGAGCGTTCTCCATATCCCAACTGTGAAGGGAATTATTTCTCCGAGGACACCAGGTCTTCGAGGAGCTTCGAGAGCTTCGACACTCTAAGTGGCCTTGGTGGTAAGAAGTTCTGCTGTTCCGATTCCCTTGTCGAAGAGGTCCTGGCAGCGAAGGAGACTCTTAAGAAGTGTCTATCCAAGGTGAGGGCGGAGATCAAGGAGAGAGGGAAGCCCAGGCCCAGGACGGCGGCTGAGAAGAAACAGGGATCGGGTTTCGATCCTAGTCAACTCGCTCCTAGGAAGAGGACCTTGACGAGCCCTCGTCGGGAACGAGGTCTTCAGGGTGGTCCAAGAGAAAATGGAAGAGAAGGTACAGAGACCGACTCTTCGAGAAAACATTCTTCGGAAGGAAATGCGACTCCCTCGAGGTCGCTACCAACCCTTGCGGAGACCAACCAGCGGGAGTCCACGACCCTGAAGGGGGACCACGCGGGAAGTGGTACCATTTCGCTGAAGAGGATTAAGCACCTGAAAAGGAATCCAGTCGACCGACCGGCAAACGTTATTGCTGGAGATGGGGAACTCGAAGCCGTTGCCGTCCACCCTGAAAAGAAGGACGAAGAGACCCTCTCTTCAGAACATACTCCAGAGAAAGCGAAGGTGGCGAAACGGTCCGCTTTGGATCAGGGTGACGAAGTGGATGGAGAAATTAAATCTTACAAGATCCCGAAGAAGTCTGCTCTTCAAGGTCCTCTGGTGGAGGCGGTCAAGGTGCTCCAAGCACCAAACCAGGGCACCAAGTCGCCGACGGATGACAAGATGCCAGTTTTAGAACCAGAAGTCACTTTAAATTTCGAGACGACCTCGGACCGCGACGACTCCCGGTCGCCGCCTGTTATCACTAATCAGGAGGGCACGGAAGTGCCCAAGAGCCTTGAAGAGGACGTATCGAAGGAAGAGGTTTTCGCGGCCGAGACCAAGATCGACCAGGAGCCCGAGATAACGCTGGCCGACGTCGTCACGGAGCTGGCTTATCACGAAAAGGTAAGCCGTGAGTTGATAAGGGCTTCCAGGTTGACTTTTTACCTATAATCATCGGCGATAATCAACCGGAATTTCTCGCCTTTTCTTTGAGCTTCCCGCCGTAAAGTTGCGGCTTTGCATGGAGAGATGCCTTCTTGATTGATAGCGTTTGATAAGAGAGTGATTGTTCCACCTTATAAAGTGTTACAAAAAAAAAAAGAGAAATTATTCGGCATACTTAATATCTTAGTAACTCGTTCACTAATTTATTTTATGATTTTAGGCGACCATCAGGCACAGGCGGTACTGCACTTTGTGCGAGAGGTGGTTCCCCTCCGTGGCAAGGCATCGTCGACATCTGAATGGTTATCAGCACAGGCACACCGAGCTGACCCAACGAAGAACCGTCCATGCACTCTTTATGCTCTTCACCGGGAAACCTTGTCCTCGACTGTTGCCGGTTAATACGGCTCGGGTCGACTGTCTCCCAGGTGAACCGACGCCTCTTCAGGTCGCTCTTCAGGTAAGCCTCTTCCCCAGAAGAGTATCTTTATCATACTGGAATAAAGAAAATTCAAGATTAACTATTAATAGAAGGAGTTTAGAAATTTTAGAATGCCCTCGCAGAGGGCCATCTTCCCGGCCGCCATTTTGAATGCAACAATCCTCGCGGGTTATTCGCGAAAATCAGTCGTTCTCGGTGATTATCTTACGAGTTCCCGGTACTCGTAATCTAAGTCAAGCCTCGAGATTTCCGGGAAGTTAATTACCTCGCCCGGGTGAATTAATGCATGGACAAATTTGGCTCATGAATTAATTCCTCGGGGGCTGTTCCGTGGCGACTGAACTCGCGGGTCGTTCCTTTGAATTTTAATTCCCCGCCGGTGACACCGGGATGAACTCCTTATCGCGTAAACGACCGGGGCCGTTGAATCGCTTACTAAAGTAGGCTCGTAAATTGGACATTTAAATGAGATCGTTGTCCGAGTTCCCATCGAGCTTGCCCGATCGATTCGGTCGGCGTCCTTTGAAAGACTCATCGCGTTGCCTAGACTCGAACATTACCTTCGCAAAGATCCCCACATTAATTACCTAGAATCCCTCCTCCCAGAAGTGTCGCCCGAATTTTCAAATCATCGGGCCTTAATGCTCAATTGGCTAGAATATTATTTTTCGTACAAATCCTTCTATATCGAACGCAAATTCCTGACAACCCGACAGGGTTTCGCGTTCCACATGACGCGCCATTATTACACCGTGCGTTGTGCCGTTTCACAGGACGTGGCAACGGGACTGCATGAGGCGTGTAACAACATGAAAAAGCGAAGCGAGAAGAAGAAGTGACCACCGTGAAACGAAGAAATCACCTAGATCAAAGGTAAAAAGAATTCCCCTCGAGGTAAGAGAGCCGGCGACGAATTTCATCCGACCAAGATCCGAAGCGAGGCTCAAGCGATGCGATTAATATAAACAATATAAAACGTGCAATTAGTTTTCTAGCCAAAGATGTTAGCGAGAAGGTACACCCTAAGGTTATTTACACGATTGAGAACATATAAATATATACATATATATATACACATACGGGCGAAAAAGTGAATCGCGGAGAATTTGAGTCATCGAGGGACATATATATATATATATGAATATATATCATATTTTCTACATAAACACGCGTGCATATTACACACGACATAGACGTTTATATATACACATATATATCTAGACACATAATATATACATAGACATTTATATTTATTATTCCGATTTTGAGGTAGATATATACATTGACGTTACGCGACTGGGAAGTACATTGAGGTACGTACAGGTGTACGAACCTTTTCCTAGGTGAAGATACATATACATATATAAGTACATATATATTTACATATCGGTGCGACGAATCGTACAGCCTTTCGGCGCAGCCTTGACGAGACTCCTTGTTTTTCTTCCGTCTGAGATGCCGCGTCGCAATTTCTCTTGTTACAACCTGCCATCGATTATGCAAAATACGCAATTAATGTCGACGCTATCTTTAGGCCCCTGTGTATCGGGGACGTCGCCTGTCGGTTATCACTTGCGCGATAGGGCGGAAAAATATTAACCTCTCGACGCCTCTTGTCCGCTGGCGTGTTTTTTTTTTTTCCTGGAATTAAGAGGCCGGAAGTAGGACGGACTCGAACGGAAGTCGTTTGCATCGCTGCCGAATGGAATCCTGGGATGTAATCATTCAGCGAGTTTCCCTGAAAGTGGTCTTAATGATCCTTTTAATGTTTAAATTAATTAGAAACACGCCGCGCGGGCGACGAGCACGTGTCAATGGTCCCGATGGCTGTCATTCGATGACTCGGAAGTAACGTGGAATAAGGCGGCTGTACAGGTGTTTAGGAATGCCATTCGATTATTTCCCTATCGGAGGCCAAGCATTGGCCTATCGGGCACAGCGAAAGTGCCTAACTGATAGCGCATTTACGAGCTCGCGTGAGTTCTCGCTAATGTGATTAAGTACCTCGGCAATGTTCCGGGGCCTTACCTGGCCGCGAGTTTTTACCAGAAAGCTTTTACCCCGATGGAACTTAAATTCGCCTCGAGTGCGAGCTTCCTTAACACCGTCGAGGAAGATAACAGGCCACAAGCGAGTCCTTGTTCGCCGTTGTAACGCACAATCTCGGGATTCTAATCGCATTCCTTAGTACCGCAACTAGGACGGTCCATTTAGAGACTCGAGCACTTCACTGGGGAAATAAAAAATAGAAAAGAAGACTATATATTTTAAGCACAATAATGGATTAGCGTCATTAATTTCGTTCACCTCTGAGAGTGCCAGGTCGATGACCACTTAGCCGTAGGACGTTCGAGCCGAGGCGAGAAAGGATTTTCTGGGATCATTTGCTATACCGGAAATGCATTTAATGTGCACTTCATCGGCGAGTTTATTTTCGGGGACCTTATCACGAAGAATGTCTCACTGCTGGAACTCTTGGCTGTGCCCGTAGACCGATCTGAAATTCAAGATCAGTGGAAAGTAATACAGAAATGGCGCAATGCTCGTGAATCTCTCGACGCGTTATTAATTTTATTAATTTTTTTTTTTTCTTCTTCGCGTTATTTACCTTGTTCAGAAATGCTGTACGATTGGCGCGCTCCACCTGTAATCGTTAAGGCGATCGTTGTTGTTTGGCTAGATTTATCCCGATACAAAGTGACCTTGCGATCCGGAATTGCCCAAAGCTGCAACAGCCGAGTGCACTGGGGATTATTCGGAAGCACCTAGGGATCTCGTACATATTCTCTTGTCGATAGGTTTATCGTACGACATATCCGTTTTCTCGTACCGTTGTTACATGTTGTATGCTTAGGTCCTTCGAGGACTCTCGACACCTTCGCTGGATCCTTATAGGCGATTTTCTTTACTTTAAAGCGAACTCCTTGCACTTTCGATTGCCTTTAAAGGCTCCCTGGTACAGCGGAAGTGTCGATTGTGCGTTCACCATAAGTTGTTGATACCAAATAGCCGGAATTTCTGTTACCCTGAAAAGTTAATCACGTGGCATCCCGTTTTCCTAATTAGTGCCACCGTCAAGGACTTGGCGACTCCGTCAGCTCTGAGTGCAAATACATTGGCAGGGTCCGGATTGTTGTTCGTTGTTGTTCGAATTGGTATTGGTTACTGCAAAGGAGCGTTGCGTTAATTTTTTTTTTTTTACACATTGACGATGTTGCACAGTCGCTTGGCAGGTTGACGTAGGGAGGGAATAACGCTCGCCTGTATTTTGATTTGAGGTCGATGTTAAATGGTTCCTGAAGACACTAGTCCTTCGGTCAGTTTAATCAATGTTAACTGTTATATCAATTCGATGACTTGACGCAACGACCAGCTAACGCGAGTACATCACTTGAATGAAGTCCTCGATGAGAGATATATTTCTTCGTTTGTATGTCCACTGTTTTTGTTAAGGATGTTCAATGGATTTTCCCGTGTGCGGTATACATAAGCTTGTATTGTAATTCCAAAGATATTGTTGCAATATCGAGTACTAATTTATTTCTGTTATATAATTTTGTACGTCACAAATATGGACATCACGGATTCGATAATATACTCAGTGTACTTGTTGAGTACATTGTAGCGGTACCAAGATGTAATACTTAGGCATGTTTTGTTGTACGCTTCGATGTACTCGATTTAGCCGGTTATTGCGCAATATAATTGCCTAATCGTCTAATTACCGATGCCGAAGTGTGATACGATAACGCTATATAAACACACAGGGTTTGCGAACTCGGTCGTAATTGTTCCAGCTGTTGTCGTCCTTTTATAAATAAGGAAGCGTTTCAGCATGATCATTCTGATAACTTATTATGTCGGATTGAGAACGTAAGTTGAGAGGGCTCGAAAACTGTGACGGGCGATTTAGAATATTGGAATTATTCCTTAATATATGTGTACATACATATTTCCTTTTTTAAAGAACGGAGGTATTTCGAGCTCTCTTAATATTTATATCCTTGTCTCATCGACAGTACGTACGAAAGCCTTTGACAACAATTGATAAGTACAACATTCGTCGAGATATTGCTGAAACTTTCCGATATCACTTTTTTCTTATACCAAAGACCAATGCAATCGGGACTCGTCGGTCTGACGGTAACGTATTAAATATACACGAAATCATGCATACAATCTATTAAAAATTGAATACCGCGGTTTCGAGATCAAACGTTTCTTGCGAAATTCCAAGCCGGAAGTGCCTCTAAAGAGCGTCAGTGAGATTTTTTACGATTACTATTCCTTAAGTCATAGAGCACTATCAGTCGCTAAGATTACACGGAGTCTCTGGATTCCTACGAATTTCTATATTTTCGGGGGAAAAAAAGAAACAAGAAAAATTCTGTAAACCTCGTGTAGCCAACGTTAACATAAGGAGAAAGAAATATGCAAGACGCTTCAAGATAGGATGGAAAAGGAAAAAAGAAACATTGTTTTAGAGTGTACCAAAGGTGGCTTTAAGACGACACTCGATGGTCAATGTACACAAGTGGATTACGATTTTCTTTCCGACGTTTTTAACCAACTGTGCTACAAATCTTGTACGGGCGAATGTCTGGATCTTATTCGCGAGATAACCCGAAGAATTTAGATTCCCTGTAGCCCTTGTGTTCTTCCACAATCACCGATTATTGTCTTAGGAAGTTCAAGCTTCAACGGGCCCTGATTAATATATATGTATAAAAGATAGAATCTCATGATATTAGGTGTCTTACATGCGAGTTGCGATTAAAAAGATAAAGATTTCGCGACATCGATCAATCTCGGAGTGGCTTTGAAGTGCTGACTATAATAATATAAGTAAGGATCACGTGTAAGACCTGACACCTTACTGGTATCAGGATGCCTTTTATCACTCGGATGTGTGAACTTCCCAAGACACGCCGCCACTTAGATAATTCTAGTCTATTGTTAAGAGTACTGCAGAAAAGTCAGATTCCCCAGGTCCCTAAACACGTCGGGATTGAGACGCGCTAGGAAGCCCCGAAGAGGCTGAGACGACCAAATTGTAAAATTGGAAAAAATTATAATTCTACTCTAAGTGATACTACATACTAACACTAACGATCCCGACAGGGACGATAAGTACAGGGATATACTAAAAAGACGGTAGTAGTTCCTTTGAAGACTTGCATATTAAAAATCAATAGCTATACATAATGTAATGAAATCGTCCTCTCGACGGCCATTTTTCGTACTTCTTCCCACCCTTGTTCGGTTATTATTAATAATTCCATGTAGTTGGCGCGATTATTTCCCCGAGTTTGAGAAAATGAAAATAGAATTGCGGCGAATCTGGCGGTTCTGGTGTACAAAGTAAATAGTGTTCGCACTTAAAGAAACAATAATTGTTAGGGTTAAGGGTATCCAGTCGGTTTAAGAGCGCTCTTCACGACCCGTTTGCCTTGAAGTTTTGGTCGCATTTAAGAGAGGCGTGTATTTTTAATGCGGTCCTATTATTTTAGTCGAAGGGGGAATTTAGATCGAGGTATAAATATCGAATTGATTAGAGGATTATCACATAAGTACGTAGATAGTAGGGGTGTAGAGACAATGCGTTATACATAAGGAACGTTTACAAGTACGAGTACATCGCTGATTGGTACGGTGTGAGGCCCAAAGATATAAAAATGTATACAATAACGATAATTAGGCCACCTTAATGTATTTATAACGCGGGTAATCGCGTTCGCGTGGAATCCGGCCTCAAGCTGTACCGATTAACGTTAAGAGGAATCGATTAATTTGTAAATCGCGAGTTTACATGTCGAAGGTGAAATGGTATTTTTCATGTTATAGAGTCGTTAAATATTTAAGGAGAATAATATATACACCGAGGTGGCGATTAAGGTAAATGTTCTGCTCGCCAGCGGAGCGTTGGATAAATTGTAAAATGGGGAGAATGCAATTAACGCGCGGAAAGCGTAAACCAAAATCTAGGTAACCACCAGCGGTGAGATAAGTTGCATTTCTCAATTTTTCCTACTTCGACCGTAGACGAGAGTGTTGGCACTTTTTGGAGTCCATGAAGTCGTGCTTTGCCAAACGTGTACACGTACATTAGAGCACAGAGTACTTGCATTTTCACAGATTCAATCGGAGAGTGGAATTTAATCATACACTGGTTATCGAATGACTGCGTTCAACTGAAAAACAGTTCACATGATGCTTTTTTTTGCTAGTACTTTCTGGACTTCAAAAACTACGTCCCCATAGGGGGAACTTTACTCTTAAATGGCTGGCAAATAACTTATAAGTCCCCTGAAAAGGATCTTACGTGCTCGATGAAATTTGGGAGCCACTATGACTTCGTAACTGACATTAATTTCTCAGAGCGTTAAGTTTCCTTGTCCATATGCAAGACACAGGCTGAATAATTTGTCATTATGCAGATATACATACACGTGCTTATAGCTGTTGTTCACTCTGTAAATACCGCGGTTCAATATGGGAATACCTGTAAGGATGTCGATACAAGCGTTGAGTCTTTAATATTATTTCTACATATATACTATATAGATATATAGATATTATATATCGACGTTGAGAAATTAGAGAAATTAAACCTCGGAGAGACAAACCTGTCGGAATGTGTGATCGATCGCAACGTTGGCTCGACAGCTGTTGTAAAGTAAAACCGAAAGAATCGTTTGTAAGCCGTGGGGATTTTTAATCAGGGGTGGAAAGCAATTCCGATTTTCCGAGGACGTTGAAAACGTCAGAGGGTTGCCCCAGGAGTCGGTCATTTATTCTGTAACTTACAGGGGTTGAGCGATGTGTTTAACATAAGGCATTTTGGGTATCTAAGTCTACTTACGTAAAGTTAAGTAAGACGTTTCGGTGGCGTTTGTGAAACGCGCCCAAACAATCCGATGCAACGTGGACCTATTTTCGGGGCCGTGAAGTAGAAACAAATAAAATGGTGTGTCATCACTCGGTCGTGTTTGAATCACGTAGACAGTATTATATGTATGTGTTGGCGGTACAGCGCGTGTTGCTGTCATTAAAGACTTCTTAAAGTTTAGATACGTCTCTCATGTACCTAAATCGAAATCCCACTTGCGTTCCTTTTCGTAAGAGCGCCTGCTTTGGAAATGCGTGCATTATAGACTGACAGAGAGCCCCATGCTCTGTCCCTCTTAGACTTAAATCGCGTAAAGTCACTATTTTAGCAGCAACTAAAGAAAATGTACCGAGGTCTGAACAATCAAAACGTAGTTTGTGTGAAATATACAAGACTTCTTTGGTTAACGATGGCCTGTCACGCTATTATTAATAAAACGATACATTTCCGACTAAGCCACTGAGGTTCGAACTTTTATTAAAACACCGCATCGCTTAATATAAATTATATATGATTTACCCCGGGGGATTGCCCGGCTCCCGTATTGGACCCGGCCTCGGGATATATAGGAGCAGAGATGAGTTGGGAGATTGCTCACGAGCGAGCTCCTATCAGAAATTCGTTGCGCCGCTCTTGGGGGCAAAAAACGGTGAAAGCTAACGTACGAAACCAGAGGGCAGCACAGGATGCGATCGCACGATCCTGCCCGTAAGCAATCTCCCAACTCATCTCTGATTATGATTGCTTCTAAATGCTTTGTTCGGTACACAAAAATATATTTACCTTCATTATTTATTTACATAGTTTCATAAGTAGGTTTCCTTTCCAGTTTCAAAGTATGAAAAAATATCTACGAAATAGAAAAGTCGATTACCTAACCTACCAAATCGTTTTAAGATACCTGCAATAAAAAATTAAAGATCCTGAAAATACAAGAAATAATTTCGTATGTTGAGAATCTGCATTACTTTTTGGATCATCCTTATAGTTTCTTGAATATAAACCAAATGTAACAACGTTCTTCGTTGTCACGTTTAAGGAAATGGTTACATGAACATGACTTTCGTGCTTATGTTCTTCGTATGTCCAGTCTCTAAGTGGCAGTAAATCTGAACCAACTGTCGATGGCATAACTAGGACTCGTTTATCGTTTTCAAATGTCCCGGTAATGGTAATGGACTTGAATGCTGTATCTGAGCTTCCTACTTCTCCACAAGAAACAATCGAATCGTTTCTGCATTGTACTAAACTACACACACTTATAGCTGCTTCAACGACGACATACTTACGGACGCCATTGAACGCGACTATACGGTACTTAAAATTCGGATCTACTGCTACTATATCAACGTTAAAGTCACAACAAAATTTATCATGGCATACACTTTTTTCATGGTGTGTTCGTGAGGTATCCAGAAGATCGGTAGTGTATGTAGAAAGGTCGTCATGCAGGTATAGAAATTCATCCATGCTTCGCTTCCAAAATCTACTTTTAGAAGCATTCGATTGCGTAACGGGATAATTTTCTTTATCCTGCCCGTTGAATTTTCTTGCTTCACGCCGTGTGCGTAAATTTTCATAAATCGATTTCTTAATCTTTGGAACGTTAACGATTAATAGTTCACTTGTATCAGTCGTAGGAAAGATTGCTTGCCCAATACCTCGACGGCCTGAAACAGACATAATAGTAAACATTATATTCGGCCTATCTCTGAAAGTAATTCATACAATTATCTACAATTCATGAGATCCAATATTTAGGTTAAAATTCATGATTATCTTTACTTTTAGCATAATATTTTAAAGTCATCACTACAAGTGACTATTTCAATTGACAAGTATAACATTAAATTGTATACTACCTAAATAAATGCCACTGCCAGCATTGCCGAATTTTGGTCTATTGTATCCAGCAGCCATGAAATTCACATCTTCAGCATATGACCACCCTGCTTGTGTTTGTACGGCTTCAAAAAGAGGGTTATACGATTGTTAAAAGCAATGCACTGAATTGTACTGGATAAAATGCAAATAACCAGTAACATTTTTATGGAATTAAGTTATAATCACATACCAGTAAGAAAAGGTGTTTCTGAAAACCATGCAGTAGGATATACTATATCTGTGACCCCAAGGCTTCTTGTTATGTTCAAACTAGGAGTATCAAATAAAATATCGAAGCATATAAAGGTTCCAAAACGAACATCGAAATCCGTATCGAATGTAGTCACTTCTGGTTCTGCTGTTACATTAAATTGTGACTCCACGAAGAGATGTGTTTTACGATACCTACAGAATATTTTGATTTAATATGACAGTTTCTTCCATTAAAAATTAGCAATTCTTTTTTCTACTTGACTTATGCACCTGCTTATTATTTTCCCAGTTCGATCAAATACCGCATTGCTATTGTAATAGAAAACTTTGTCAGTTGGGCAATCATTCTCTTCACAGATCAATTTTTCAGCAATGTTAATAACCACATAAATCTGATTTTTTTTTGCTGCACAAGATATGCTTTTTAGTGTCTACAGAAAAAGTATGGAATTAACAAAATGGCGCAAACAATACATCATGTTAATACAGAAAAATGTAATAATCAGTATTGTACGTGTCTACTTACATCACTTACTCCGTTGATATTATCATCACATGGTACATGATTTATGGGAATCGTCGTCGTCCAAGGATCCATATGTTCCCTTGCTGGTAGATTCACAGATGTTAATCCATCTTCAGGAAATACTATTATATCAACATTCTATAAATATTTCATTGAGTTAAAGTGACAATCTCTTACTAAGATAAATTCAGCTAAAACTGGAATCGTATAACAGCCTGCCCAAGACAAACAAGAATAAAAAGAAAGTACCTGTACTCCTGCCTTATTAATAAATTGAACATAAGCATTAGTATTTTCCTTTAGCGTTGATTCAGCATTGCCATTCGTATACGCTGGAGAATACTCAACAACAGCAGCAATGTAATTGCTAGAATCTGGTGTTGATTTCTGAAACAAATAATATCGTTCAAATATAAATATAAATTATACCATGACAATGTATTATCAAAATGTTTAATACAATGATAAACCCACCTGTTCAGAGTCCAGTACTTTGACGATTAAAAATAAAATGCACCACCAATAATTAGCACCCATCATTTATTTAATCTTGCATATGCCCATAAACAATAATATTAAAATATGCAAAGACCTGAAACGGTTAATATTTTTATGACAGTTCACATGTATAATCGTGCCTATTCAGACAAGGCGCAGCGTTTTCAGTTCATTATCTCAAAAAGTGCGCAATTATTCAACAACTCATGAGTAACGATAAAATTATCAAAATGATTGACTAATGAAAGATAACTGGACAGCGGTATACCTTAAATCATGATACATCATGCATGTAAGAATACATGGGTGTAGCCCAAGTCAGAGGTGTGAGTGCCAGAGTAAGGGGGAAACACCTACGCAATGGTAAGGTAGCGTAAAATGGTTCTGAAATTACTCGCAGCCTCCTAGAGCCAATCCATGGACGTAAGTATTCTGACGAGCGAATCAGGAGGCTGAAAAATCAGGAACCAATATACTCATTGTTATTGTTCAATAACTTGCTTCATTACACTAAATATTTTACAGTTTATTATTCATTTTTAATTGATTCATTTTTTCCCTTGGGAAATCTTAAAACTAACGAGCGAGTTCATTAGCCGCCTACATTCTCCATCGAGGGTAGCACCAGAGATGGCTCATCTCTGGTAGCACAGAACGTGATCGCGCCGACTTAGCCCGTGAGCAATCTCCCAACTCATCTCTGCGTTTATTCATTTTGTTCTGTGTTGGTTTTCTAACCTAAACGTTGGTATCGCAAGCACGTGATAATTCCCATATTATGGAGGTTGTTTTTGCCAGGTGCTAGCGAATACGAAAAACTCATGAAGTAGTCTTCGCGTTGAAAAACAAGATGACTTCTCCGTTCACCTGCATCACCTGTCAAGTGGCGTTTCGTGACTTGGAGGTACAACGGCAACACTACAAGTCCGACTGGCATCGATACAATCTGAAAAGGAAAGTTGCGGAGTTACCTCCTGTTAAAGCTGACGAATTCCAGAGAAGGGTTCTTGCACAGTGCCGCAAGGATGATCAGATGAGACAGGAGAAAGCTTTGAACTGTAGGATATGCAAAAAGAGTTTCAGCTGTAAGAATCAATATACGAATCATTTGATCTCCAAGAAGCATAAAGACAACTGTGTCAAATCGGAAGTAGGTGTAAAGGAAGAGGGGGTAGTAGAAGAGAGCAACGAAATTGCACCCGATACAGGAAGTTCCAGAATAAATGACAAAAATGATAATAAAAATGAGGGTATGGAGATCGATTCCGATGTGGAGTCTGTAGATTCCGATGAATGGATCGAAGATACTGAAAATCCTGTAAAAAGCAATAATTGCCTTTTTTGTAATCATCACAGCAGATCATTTGTACGTAATCTGAAACATATGTCCGTTGCACATTCCTTCTTTATTCCGGACACAGAATATTGCATAAATATTAAAGGATTATTGGTATACTTGGGAGAGAAAGTATTTGCTGGATACATGTGCCTTTGGTGCAATGACTCGGGTAATTATTTTATATTTTATAAGGAGACAGGGATGAAATAACTAATTTTAATATTTTATTTAAATTGGTATAGGCAAAGCATTTCAATCCGCTGATGCTGCGAGAGCACATATGATCGACAAAGGGCATTGCAAAGTTCGGCACGAAGGAGAGGCATTGGCAGAATATGTTGAGTTCTATGATTATTCATCAAGTTATCCTGATGCAGAACATGAAGATCCCGATGCAGAAGTCCAAATACCCGAGCTCGACGACAGTGATTACCAATTAGTGCTGCCCTCAGGATCCATGATCGGTCACCGATCTTTGATGAGATATTACAAACAAAATCTTAATCCCAATAGAGCAATGGCTGTATCAAAGAAAAACAAACTGGACAAGGTGCTATCGCAGTACAGAGCTCTTGGATGGAAGGATACGCAGAAAGAGGCAGTTGTTAAGAAGATCAGGGACATTAAGTATATGCAGAAAATCCATGCCAAATACTCCACGCAGCTTCAGTTTAAGGCGAACAAACTGCAAAAACATTTTCGACCACAAGTTAACTTTTAAATTACCAACTACACTGGTTGTGTAAATTAATACTATCTACAGGTATTTTTTTATCAAACATTGTTATGTTATGTATATTTCCATTTCAATTATCATAGCAATACCATTCATATCTGTACCATTATCGGATACAAGCTGATGGATTACTTTACACCTAATTTAAGTAATCGTGTATACCAGAATTAAGCTAGGTAAAGAACGATGGAATAAGTTGACTGTCACCTACGTAAATAAACTTGAGTATTTATTTGCTGGGCAATCTTACAAAATAATGTTTAATATACTCCTACAGTATGCAACACCAACAAAAATATTCAATATAATACATTTTTTTTCTATAATCTGTTGACCTGCACCCAACTGGACCCGTCACCGAGTGGTTCGTTTAAGTGTACAATAAATCTCTGATATTAATAGACTGAACGCCATTTAACATGCAACATTGTTGTCAACTGTCCCGTTGATTCGTTTATGAGCCTAAGAAGCTCGTAACATTTCTCTAGCTATGTTACTATTCTAGTCTTCCCAAAAGGTCGAGGTTTGTAACAAGGACCAGTGCAGTGTACTTTGGAAACGTTATCGTCAATGACTTCTGAAAACTCGTAGTTGTCGACTACGTGCTTGCAAATGTCAAAAATGTGTCACCTTGCTGGATCGATTAATCTAAAATACCTCACCGAGACCAAAACGTCAAAGGGCAGTAATCGTTCCTTATTGGTGTTAAATAAAAGGATTTCAATAATGTCAGCTCCAACGACAGACAAGAATGCGAATCAAATCGCCTTTAAATACACATTACCACGCTCATGTACATCAGAGAGCCGTTATTGTCACAACAACCAGACACCTATACCTCACAGCGATTCCTTGAACCGGTGAGTTTTGTAAATTTTGCTCTTCGCCTCGAAGTAACCAAACTGTCATCTACTTCGGTTAGTCTTGGTCTATCAATTTTACCAGAAGTTTTAGAGCTTCGTGCGGAGGAGCAGGTCTGATGGATTCGTCTAAATCTGCGTAGGGGATTTCAGCCTCCATCTCAAATCCATGCTTGGCGCAGACTTTCTGAGAGAAGATCCCAGTTGCGTCTGCCTTGAACACCTGTAGGATTCATCGGAGACATCGATTCTCAAGTACGAGGCAATATCCTAACGTCAATCAAGAAAGTAACGTACGATTACACACATTCGATGCAAACGAAAATATCATCCCATGCACTGAAACCAAACTTGCATGCTGAAACAAATAAGGAAATCGTCAGGTCTGCTGAATGTCCTTTGTCCCACTAAAAAGGTAATAAATTACACAGGGTTCACAGGTATCCGTACATCATTGAAGCAACTCAAAATGTCCATATTCCACATTTTCGTGAGCTTCCACTCCCTGAGAAAATCCGGGCTCGAGGTGCACAAATAACGAGCAGTCGTTCCTGATGGTCCGAAATAGTTAAAGACATTTCGAGCGATATGCAGCTCGCTCAACAGGTTCGACATCTACGTTCGAGCGTGCAAAAGGTCGCCCTCGAGGAGTACCTTGAAGCCGGCTCTTCTCGCGATCTCGATGCTATCCGCCATAAGGACGTTAGCCAGACCGCGTCCTCGGAAGCGGGAATCCACGCTCAAGATCCGGCACTCCAGGATCTCCTGCACGTCGTACTTTTCAAAGAGATCGACCTTCTCGTTGACCTTATAGAGGAGGCCGAAAATGGTCTTGAACTTTTCATCGGCGAGCTCCAGGAGTTTGCGGCCCGCTTCCTCGCGCTCGCCCTTCCTCAGGGTGCCGTTCAAGGCCACGCCCGCTATCTGGAAACCACTTTGCTGCTAAGCAATCGCCAGATCATCTCTCTCCGAAGATTTTCAGCCAGAAGCTGCGTCCGATTCTCGACAGAAATCTCCGGAGAGATTCGTCTGACTCCGATCTTTTTCTGGGATTTACCGTGCCGTCCTCGCTGAGGATCATCCTCGAGTAGCCCTGCTTCATGGTGGCCAGGCAGTGTCTCTCCAGGTCGGGGTGAGGCTCACCCCTCTGGCAGAGCCCCACGGCGTGGTTGAGGGGCTCGTCGGCGAAGAAGCTGTGTCTCAGGTGGTCGATCACCTCGCAGAAGCGATCTTCCGGGATCGTGAGGACCGTCAGGTGCTCGGACATCCTCGGGCTGGGTTGGCCGCGCGTCTCTCGGCGTCCCCCGACGCTCGCTCGCCCACGCGCGCACTCGAGAGGGTGTCTATATTGATTGACCCAGTTCGAATGATTCCACCCCTGCGGTTATCACTCGCCGAAGGTGCGATCCGGGCCTACGGATCGTGCGTCGACCTCCTCCATCGACCTTCTCCATCGATTGCTTTTCTTTTTTCTTAAGTCGGTCCTGTTAGAATTCAGTTATAAAGGGTCGTGAAAGAGTGAAACTTCTCCAAACTGGGTGTACTTAATCGATTAAAAGTTTACAATATAGGTATAGAGGGTATAAGGAAGGTCCCGAAACTCATGAAAATTTTATTCTTTCAAAATTTCTTAATAAATGTTTATAAAATATGTTATAAAAAATGAAGTTTCCCGAGTGCCAGGATCTTCCTTAGAGCCTCTATATTCACGTTGTCAAGTTTGAAACGATTTGGTACATTTAGTTCGGAGGAAAGTTTCATGAACGATTGACTCTTCGAATGCCACTTTCACAGATCAACTTAAAGGGAGGGAAAGAAGAATTTAGAAGGACTTAGGGAAGATTTAAGATTTAGGAAATACCAAGCATCAAAATAAAGTGTATCGATCGTTGTCAAAGGACGTAAAGTTAACTAGGCGTCAATAAATGTAAACAGGGTCTAACGGTCAAAACTATGATACACGCGATCGTTTTATTTATAGATATTCTCTGTAAAGAACTTAATTATTTATAACACTTCTGTAAGCTGTGGAAACGAGGTACGGCGAGTTGACCGCGGTACCTACGAGAGAAACATACTCGGAATACTTTTTTTTAGAAAACGGTTGATCTCGACCTGGTTGACGCGTTCGACGCTTGTGGTATTTCTTTAAAGTAGGTAGTAAAACCAGGATACAGGTGGAGAATACTATACAGATATCGAGATCCACTCAACGGATGGCTTAAGAACGTAACACACTAGCGTTGTCCCCGATTACACGTGTCCTGTACTAACTGCGAACTCGATTGCCTTGTTGCGGGTCTCTAAGAGAACTTGCCTTTTAAATTAAAGACTCGAGCAAATATCAAGTTCAACCTTTACACCGTTGGAGTTCGCTGTAAACGGCATGCTGCCAATGATTCGTGGACGATGATCTAGGACATCGCACGTGATGTTTTTAAAGCTTGAACAAAAATACTATGTACAGTTGCTTAGAAAAGCAGATCCTCGTCACCCTCATCCAGCATGTTGCCAGGATCTAGATCTTGACCCTCAGCTCTCATTTTTGCCCTGGCAGCATCGACCTGGAAATAATTTTTTCAGTGTTACCAAAAATGAATCTATGTATCATTTAAACAATAAAAATGGTTTCAGTTATGTAGGTGAACATTCCACGTTACCTTCGCCTTGGCAATCTTCTTCTTGTCCTGAATTTTCTTCAATCTGTAGAACTCTTCTCTTTCCAATTCATCCAATTCCGAGATGATATACGCAAGAGTTCTCTCGATCCTTGGAATAATGACGTGTTCGATAGCATTTACACGACGATTCGTGATTTTGATAACCTCGTCCAGCGTTACGAAGCTCGTCTGCAAAGATGCCAGTTCGACTAGCAGCTTGACAGCCCTTTGATAATTCTTCTTCAGCTTGGCCAGTTGCTGACCACCTCTAGCCAATCCAGCTAATTCGTACGTATCCGTGCCATCTTGATACGACTCGAAGACTGGTAAATTAACCCCGGCGACGTTATCCTTCTTCGAACGAATTTTGATCTGCGCCTTTGTCACGTTTTGAAGTACCACTTGGTTAAAGTCTCCAGTGGCAAATTTGGCTTCGGCAAGGGAGAACGCTGCCTCCTTCATGACTTCACCCATAAGGGTCTTTGTCTACGGTGAATCGATGGAGTTAATATGAAACCGTTATTTGAAAGTGATACCCCGACCTATTCTCATATACCTACTTCAATGATCTTTCCTAAAATTAATCTGAATCGCATTTGCAGAGCATCTGCTTTCTTCTTAAGTAAGCCATGTCCCTTTTGCGCACCCTGAAGACGTGACTTCATTAACATTTGTGCTCTGAAAAACAAACAGACGTAAGCGACCTGGTAAAAAATCGATCCTTCTATCTTTATTGCGCAGAGAATTTATTCGTAATCGCGAAGGGGTACATCGGTACATATTCGAGGTACGTTAATCTGGACGGAAACATTAAAAAGCCTTGAAATATGTTCGACTGCAAATTGCGGTTACACCCAGTTTTCGGGCGCGTCTAGAAATCAGGTTATGTCGGCATTTGAAGAGGCAAGAACGGTCCCGGACGATCGCGCGTCATCGCGTCTAAAGTCTTACACGTGTATTTCGACAAAATACTGCATTACTTACCCCCGAGAGGGGAAAATAGGAAGCCTGTCCTTTCCAGACATCGTTGCACGCGCGATCGAGCAGACAGGACTGAGATTTGGATCAGCTGACTCCTTGAGACCGGAAGTTGCAGCTCGCGCCGGAACGCGAGCGCCACCGGCGGGAATTTCAAACCTCACTTCCTCCCCAAACCGCGTCGCCCTGCAAATGATTATCTCTAGTGCGGTAAAAAATCTTACACCTCACGAAATAAACCTCGCTCCACTCGCAAATATTGCGTATGAAAAATCTTTTATTGAAAAATGTTCTTTCACGCTACAACGTCAGTGTACCTTCGTCCTATGTAACTTCGTAACAGTACAAAAATTGCGTTTTTACAAGTTGTCCAGCTTACATGACTAAATATCCCAGTTAGCAACCTGATTGCAATAAGCACTTTGCGGCCCGTATTCGCGACCCCGGCCAGGCCGAATTTGTCGTTTATAAGAAAAGAAAAGGACCCTCCCGAGAGGTAGTCCCCGAGAAAAAGAGCGATATACCACTCGGATCGAATCCTGAATACGGAGCGCAATCTAGGAGAAACGAGTTTATATATAATCGAGCGGAAGATGTCGCGCCGCCGGGACGCGCGTCGCCGCGTCCTATCCCGTCTCACCAAGGGAGCGTCGCGCGTCTTCCTTCTACGGCTCACGAATACATTCCGGCGTTTCGCCGGTACCTCGCTGTCCTCCTAACGTATGCTCATTATAAATCACCTAAACCGTTCGCCGGCCGTAAATTCCCGGGCGCGGATCGATAAAAATCGCGGCTTGCTACCTGGGTTTAAAAAAAAAAAAGAAAACAAAAAAAACCAAGGGGACGTGGTTGACGGAGGTGTGCGTGGCCAAGACTTGTTCCTAAAACGTCAAGGGGGCGTCCTCCCCGGACAGGGTATCACCCTACGGACGTGGTTACCGTGTTCCAAGGTACCCTGGGGCATTGAATATCCGGATGTCGTTAAAGAAAAGAAATTAAAAAAAAGAGAACCCCCCACGAGAGGACGCCGCGCCAGTTTCCGATGGAACAGGAATGCAACAATAGTTGGCGCGCGTGTGACCGACCAAATTGCCGCTCGCTAAGATATTCCTTGTCGCACCCTTGTATCGCATATGTATAATATATGTATAATATACCTTTCCGTATTACCTATAATGCGTCTAAAGCCGCCCGGGGTAAGCCGACTGCGGCGCGAGTGCGGGGAAGGTTTGGGTCTCTCCATGGCGGCCCGACTTCGTCCGAGCGTTCCCGAAGACGACCGAAGAGACCGGCGTCGTTCCGATCGGTTCCACGAACAACTTGCCGATCGGATGCCGAGGGACGCCCCGAACCCGAGCCGGGATTGTTTACGCTAATTCGATGTCTATCGATATCGTGAGCCCATTGGAATAACCCGATAACCGACGTCGACAGCCATCGAATATGGTGTACAGAATAATCCCGCTATCGGCCCGTACGCGCGCCGCACCGTGAACCATAGAATCGAGAACGGCGACGGAGGCGAGAGAGAACTCGTCCTCCGAAGGTCCGCGAAGCGTCTCGCTCCGTCCTTCGCCCTTTCTCCCGTCTACCTCGGATTCTCCGTCATTTAGGTCCTGCCTTTACAGATACGGAATCGGATGCTGCGTTAATTCGTTATACGACCTCCCATGTACGAGTCTGGCGCGCCGGAGAGCAGTCTTATTACGGGGATCCCCCGGTTCAGCTGGTCCGACCGGAGAGGGGAGACCCCCGAATGCGCGCGAGTAAGTGTACAGTGTGCAGTGTAAAGTAATAAACACTATTATCGACTATACGTTTATCAACTGATAGAAATTAGAAACGTATCGTTTGACTAGCTTTCGATATCTCTCTCTCTCTTCCTCTCTCTCCCTCTCCTGTTCGCACCCCTGACGAATTCTCAGGTCGCACGCAGTACGCGGGACGCAGTGTTTCTCGCATCTTGGGTATTCTTGGGTAATCGTTATTTTCCTTAGGACTCGCATCTCGGCAGCCCCTGGGATATAGTTCCTCGCTAATTCCGCGACGCTCGTCGGAGCGTCGTTAGTCTTATACACGATATCGATTACAAATTACGATAGAGTACAGCGTTTACAACACGATCGGTGTTTAAACCTAGGGCGCTAAAACGGTACACACCTCCCTCCGTACTCGAATACACCTCCCGGCCTCCTATCTGATTCGTATTACATTTTGACGAGGTTTCCTCCGTTCCTTTTTTTCCCTCCTTTCTCCCTCTCCCAATATCTCCTCTCTCTCGTCGTTCCCATTCCGCAGTCTTCGAATTGTTTCATTCGCGCGCGCGGGGGGGCGCGCGCGAATTAGTCAGTCTTTTCTTGGGTTCATTATTATTTCTGTTTTTTTTTTCCTCCATTTTCTCTCTCTCCCTCACTTATTATTTTTTTCCCTTTTTCTTCGTTATCTTACCCTCTCGCGTCAATTAATTACAATTAATATTAGTCTGTAGATTTTGTTGCACGAAAATATCCCTATAATGGTATCGCAAAAAGCTCCTTAAACCGCTAATGCATAATAATAATAAGGTGTACGTGTACGTGTACGTGTGTGTGTGTCTCTTCATGTGACAATGTATGCTTAGAATTTAAAGCCACAGATTTCGATGTCGAAAAGCTTTACACTCTCCATTCTATCTCTCCTCTTTCGCCCGCGGGTTCTTTACGCGTTTTCCCTCTCCCTCCTTCTCTCCCGTCTTTTGGTTTCATATTTTAAGGCCCTTTAGAACGTTTTCCCCTCTCTCGTTCTCGAGAGGAAATGAAAAAAGGAAAATAGGAGAAAAGGGACTCGTACCGAGTTTTTCTGGTCGGAGCGTAAACTACGAAATCTGTGCATGAACTGCGAAGCATACACACGCAAATACGAGGTTTCTTTAAGTGCAGGACCCTGTCGCAAATGAAAGAAAAAGTACACAAACACTCTGCGGTCTTATACATTGCGCGCGACAGAGTCCATCGGAAGATTTAAAAAAAAAAAAAACAAAGAGAAAAAAAAGAGTAAACAAAACCACAGTACAGACAATTACGTTTTGCATACACGGAGCACGCGGGCGCTTTAAGTATAGTTCGTTCTTTAATAATAATAATATATTTATGTATATATATATAGATATATATCTATACGTGTAATATTGGTTTGTCCTACGGAGACAGCAGAGTAAAAAGTAAAATCAGTCCGTTCATTAAAATGAATTACATTATATTACCATAATGCGTCTTAGCGATTAAAATCAGCAGAATTCCATTTCCCGAAATGGATAACACAAAAAACAAATATTGCAAGTATCGCACGGGTTGTTTTCCATCCTTCGTCATTCTTTCGTATTTTCCTTTTTTTTTTCTTTTCTGTTGGGGGGGGGGATTTTATATCTCTTTCTCTTCTATCTCCCTCCCTCATTGTTAATCCTATCGTGGTATATATACTTTTTCATATATAATATATCTATATAGACGTAGTAAATAGTAAAGGAAAGAATCTATCTTTCTAGTAGCATTTGGCTTGCCAAATTCTGTCAGTTCACATATGGTACAATTGCAACGGGCGTGTCGTGTAGTAAAATACGATTTACAAATAATCGGTAAGTCAATTCGTCGATTCGGTCGATAATCGAAAATTTTCGTACGTCTCGAGGGTCGGACGTTGCATTTGGTAGGGCTATATAATGGATGCTACGGGTCGTCGCTCGTTACGCGATTCTCTCTTCGAAGACTTATGAAAAATACAATCTCACCTGAGACCGGTGGACCAACCTTTCTTAGACCCGCTCCAGAGCGGCACGTTTCATCGGGAGTTGGATCATCACGTCGCGGTCTGCGAGTAGGAAATTAGGCCTCTCCGAACCCTCCGATGGCCTGTTCCGTCATTCGCAGGCACAGCGATTCCAAACGAGAGTTGATCTCCGGGTCGGTCGTCTCGGACGTGTTGCTCGACTGGCCAAGGAAGTGATCTCTCGGCGCGCTGTACGTGCGCTGCAAGGTTCTTTGCAGCTGCTAGAAAATGCAACATCGACAACAAAATCAATATATATATATTCCATTGGTATCTTCGGTCGTAGACAAAAAAAAATATATATATATATATATTTACCTCAAGGCTGGTCTCCTGTAAGCTGGGTCTCTTCTCGGTTACGTGAATCGGTCGTAGGTTACTCTGGTTCAAGCTTTGGTTCTGACTGTTCTGCAAGTACGGGGTGGATATACTGTTCCTGTGTGGACTGACCAGAAACGAGTTGCCGTGTGTATGCGCGTTGTGGACGTGGCTCAAGTTAAGACTCGGCTTTCGATTGTGCGGATTGTGTTGCTGCGGGTTGCAGTATCTTCTGTTGTTGTAACTGTAATTGTGCTGCCACCTGAGAGGCAAGACATCGGGTGCTTTACGTCGAGATATCGACAACCACTTTGAAGTGAACCTACTGGAAATATTAACGGTCCTTCGCTTACTTTGGTGTAGGTCTCGGATTGCCAAGCCTGCTGCGCCACTGCTGGACCTTCTCTTTTTGGTTTGGCGTGAAGCAGTCGTGTTGCAAGATCTTCTCCAGGATGTTGATACAAGCACACAAAACACCGTCGTCTACCGTCTCCAGAGCCAGTCTGCTGCATACTGTATTGACATTTTTCACGTTAAAAAAAGTAATCAGTGAAGCGTCATTTTTTACTCCGATCGATTTGCACACTTACGTTTGCCCAGAACCTTTGTAAATTGAGCTGGAATGTCTTGCGGATCGCCCTCTTGGCTTGGTTTTAAAGGCGTAGCCAAGATGGTCTTCAGTTCGTCCAAAGTGTTGACCAGAAGAGCTGGACCCTGGGAAAACGAAGCGGACTGATTTCCATCGCGGGTGGGTTGCAGCAGGTCTTTTTCCAAGTTAAGAAGGGTCGAGTAACGCTGCTGTAACTTAGTGATCGAAAGAGCCAGCTTGTGTCTTGCCCCCTTCGTAACACCCTGCTCGGCTAATTGATCTTCGGTCAGTTCGAGCATTTCTTCGTAGCTCAGCGTCGCAAACAAATAACTGTATTTATGAAGTCGTAAAGTTTTCAGCCATGATGCTACATCTGCACGGGGAGAAAAAAAAAATTCTTTATTAACATTCTTCAACAATTAGAATTCATTTAGATTTAAAATAAAAAACCAACCTCGCATTCCGCTTGCAAGAGTTCTAGTAGAGGCCTCGTCTAAGCGCCCTTCGCTGCCACTGCTTGCACAAGAACTCTGGGGGCTCAATGGTCCAAGACCCGCAAGAGTACCTGTGTTATGTAATTAAAATTAAATCGCATTCAATTGCAAATCCAATAGTTATCGATTTTCTACACGATAAACATATTTGAAGCTCACTCGAATGATCTCCTGAAACGCTAAAACTGCGAGGCTTATGTCTCGTCGAATTATTCACATTGTTGCTGCGTTCGACTACCTCCAGGTGATGTGGAGGCGCAACAGGAGGTGTAAGACTATTTGAACGTCTCTGTCGAGTTACCGGAGGTGGAAACTGTAGATTAAAAGTAGTGCCCGGTTGAGAACCGAAGAGATTCGATTGATCATTTTGCTGCTGCTTCGAGCTTCGCTGCCAAGCATTGTCCCACCTTTTAGAAAAGTTAGTGCAATTCAGTTATTTAAAATTTTCTAAAACCCAAAAGGTCATTAATTCATACTTTATCAAATTTTTCTTAACCGACCTGCTAGGAGTATTAGTATACTCTTCGAGGCTGTGTATGGGAGGAGTACCGCTAATTCGCTCCTCTAAATGTCTCAACCATTGGGTCAATGATCGTCGATCTTGGCTAGTGATAGCAGGGTGGATCAGTGTATAGCTCAAGAGCTGTTGTATCTGTTCGGTGTATTGTCCAGTGGTGACGCAGTGGCTCACTAATTCAGGTATCGCTACGAGATAGCACTGCTTGCATTCCACGTTGCCTGGCCTCAACAATGGTAGATGAGTGAGCAGTTGATTGATTGCTACTTCAGTGGACTCCGATAGTAGAGAATTGATGAAAGCTTTAAAAATAAATTTTTCCTCCGTGACAAGTCTTATCCTAGAACCCATTCTTTATTTTTCAACAACTGAATACAAGACATTCTCTGAATATTCATGAGAGCAAATTATTTATTCTGGGAGTTTTATATCATTACCTGGATTATTGGCATTAAGCTCTTGCGTGTCTAGCTCCGATACGGAGTGCAACGAATGCTGTACCGCCTGTGCCAGAAACCTTGCCTGGACTGCTGGAATACGTCTGAGCAGGGCATATAAGACGACGGTCTGCTCGCACTCGTTCCACTGAGAGAACACCCGGGTGAGTTCGCCTACTTGTTCGCAGAACAAAGCTCCTGGAGACCACTTCATGATGAAGCGTAATTCGGGACGATCCTTGGATAAAAAGCAGCAGCGCTTGCTTCAGCTCGAAAGAATGCTTTGCAATCCTCCCAAGTCGTCAAGGTCGTGTTATCGAATTAATTCTAAAAACAAAATAGCAAATTAGTAAACGTTGTCCTCAACGATCGGAATCTTTTCTACAATGTCCACACGGTAGGTTACTTATTCTTGGCAAAGCGCTAATAGAACTTCTGTTTACATTCGACTCGCTAGCAACACATCGAACACCTTCCTGTGGCAAAGCATTAATACTCTTGTCCTTGAACTATCCACACCAGTTTATCCAGTATTTCAAATTTAAAATATTCACAGTTAAACCATCATAAGAAACGCGACAGATTGGAACTACACGAATCACAACATCGAAGGTAAACCGCTTCGAACTGTAAATACCGAACTTTGTAGAAAAAGAAAAGTCAACGTACACGTAGTCCGAAAAATATTCTCAAACAGGAAGACCAAAGCTCAGAGGTTCTCTTACAGGTCTCGACGTCATTCACTTGTTCATTCACCTCCGGAATTCGCAACACGCGGGCGCATCGACCAAATAATCCTCCCGGGCCAGTGACCCTCCGCCGCCCGCTAGATAAACGACATAACCTCAAACCGGCCGAGCGTCGATAAGAATTCGCTGAGGTCAAGTTTGTTTACCCGCGTTGCGCGCGTGTATTTATAGCTCGGCCGCCGTAATCCACTCTGGCGGTGCACTGGCATCCGCCGTTACGCGGCCGATAAGGGAATCGGGGAAAAGGATCGCGCGTGGGGCGGCGACGCCTCGGGGAAGCGACCGGACGGACGCCATCTTCGCGAACCTCGGCAGGTCAGCGGCTCCCGGATCGAGTTTTCCGTTACGCCGCTGACGCCGCTCGGCGGCTCGACGAGGACCGCACGGCCATTGGAAGGTATCCAGGGGAGACGCGAGGAACGCGTCGGAATGCGCTCCGGCGCCGAGGCACGCGTTGCCAAGAACAAGGCCCGGGCGCGACGGAAAGCGGCCATTGGTCCACGGGTCGCCGCCGCCGCCGCGCGCCAGGATTCGGCCATTAACGCGGCCTAGGGGAAACACTCGGCCTCGTCGGGGGCCGGGAGATCGCGCAGTTTTACCGTTTCGTGGTCCTCTCGCGACCTCGCTGGCTCGTCCCGTTACTCTCCTGGGTCGGTCGGTCGGTCGCTCGCAGCGGACAGGGATGCACCGCCGTTAGAGCATCGTACTGGCTGGGTGTTCAGTCGGCGTGCCTCGACGACGCGTTCGCAAGCGCAGCATCCACCATGCGGCTCGGTGGGCCTACGTGACCACACTGTTCGTCGGTCTCGCCGCGGTCCTTCCCGAGTTTATTCCGCCGTGGCGGCGACTGGAACGCGAGCACGCGATTGGTCAGCCGCGGCCCAGCCAGCCAATCAGGAGCCGCCGCTAGCGCGCAACTAGCGCCACGACGCGGTCCGATCGTACGTCATGGCCGGATCGCTCCAAGAGTCTCTCTCGAGATTCTTGACTCTTCTTTCGTTGAATCTCATTTTTCCTCCGTCTTTGCACTGATCGTTGTATTTAATGTCGCACGTCATTTTGAAAAATTCTTAAGAGTACTTTGGGTGTACTTGCGTCTGGCTCTTCGAGTACCCGGGGAATTTGTCTCTCGCGGTCACTGACTTCCGCGATGCATTAGTATATGTGCGAAACCCTGCGCCGCGCAACGCAACGCGCAGTGCGTGGGTCTTGGCTTGTATTTTTAGTTTTATTTTTAATATTTACAAGCAGGTATGAAATGAACTCCGAGGAGCGTTTGGCGAGTTTATTTTTAAAACATCACAATTGTAGGTGGTTTCTTTGCAGAATCTGCCTTTCCTAGGATTTTATGGCAGATAATGCATTAATATACACAGCCCTTTTTTACTTCACACCTTACGATGCAGTTTCAAATGTACAGCACGCATAATTTTATACTCTCTTGTGGATCTTAAAGATATGGCAGTCGCTAAAACATGTATTGGTGAACGAATTGTATATATAACTTAAATTTAGCAAGAATAGTAATTCTTGTAGCAGCAGTTTTTACGGTAACGCTAAACGAATTTAGGTCGAGAATTTATCGTACAAATTCATTTATCAAACATTAACGATAATATGATTTATAAAAGTACTCAACTTTTGGAGATGTATCGAAAAACATTATAGATGATTATGTTCGAAGAGAAACTATAACACTTAACAATGGGACTGATTTGTTGGGTCATTTTTCTCTATAGAACATAAGTTACCACGTTGTTTAATACATTTGTTAGAGTATCCCCTGGGTGGAATAGGATTTCATACGAAGCAGGTGATATCGCATCGAAGAAAAGTCACCTTGTTGTTGATTATTCATGTATGCAGCAGAATAATGTACCACCGTGGATAAGAAAATCGAAATTTCTTGCAGAATACTAAAGTCGTGTAAATTATAAATATATATATATATGCTTACACTTATATACGAGTTAATTAAGAAAACCGATACTTATTACTCTACCACTTGCTACAAGATACTAAAATTATTATAAGCTTTCCCCCATCCCATCGGTCTCGGTGACAAGGGCTCGTTCTAAGATCACTCGTCCTTCCTTATATCGTTGGTTGTCATCCGTAGCAAATTCGTATACCCAACCGAGTTTGGTATCACAGTTTTTACAGCTCACATCGCGGACCATGTGACGTCCTGTCAGCATCACTCTGTCCTGCACTTCACTGTTTCACACGATATTAAATTAATAGAGCGATATGTATATACTAAATACTCCTGCATGAAATTCATTTTATATATTCACTCTCATTTCCCGTACCTAACCAGAGTAAATTGTTCAGACAAATTAGTGATTCATTAAATTCTTACCATCTTAATGCCGAAGAGTGAATATATAAGTATTACGATATCAAAATAAGCTAGTCATCCCGCTACCCTGCTAAGGAACTAAATTCTATCTAATGTCCCAACTATTGTGAGATACCTGTAATTGAGATTGACGACTTTGTTAAAAAGAAAGGCACGACCCGTTGCACCTGTGAAACGTGTGCTTATCAGCTGGCCTCTGTTGGTGAGGTTGGTGTCGCAAGAAGCACACGAAAACAGTCGTGTACCTCCGATATGCTCCAGAAATATCACCCCCATCTTTGTATGACGTAGATTTCTTTATTCCTTTCGATATTCTAGCACTAGAATCCAAATAATTCAATATCTTTCAACTGAATCCAACTGAAAAAGGCTTACTCACTTTTAACGCAACCAGCGCAACTGACACGCGTGCACAAATAAATATTTGTGTAAGCACGAATAAACAGACGTGTCAACCAAGAATCCTGCAATTCTATTGGTCGAGAGGTACTGCCCTGCTATTGGCTCTTCCGTTGGAGCAACCGTCCACCTAGCCAATGGGAACGTAGAGTATCGAATTCAAAAACAGCCATGACAGGATAAATGGAAGCGCGAAATACGACTAAAACGTAGTACCTTTTAAAAGTATTTACCAACAAAAGTTCAATACTTTGAGAGAATAAAATTTTCTGAAAATTGATATCACGCTGCGGAAGCCAATTTACATCAANATATATATTTATTTTTTATTCATGTATATATCTGTATCCGTATGAATGATAGTTTTAAAGCTAGTTACACAGATTTTGTGCAGTAAAATTCAAAAAGCCTTCTTTTTAAAAATGCCTAGTCTTTAGGTCCCGGGCCACGCGGGCCCTCAATGATTCTCAAACCACCCCTTTGATATTTAAAAACTCGACACTTGGGAATAAAAGGATCGTGATGTAACCTCTTATTATGAAAGCGAAACTATATTCGGAATTTCAATTGGTCGTCATTTAATTACTATGTTTATCTCTTCAAGGCACGTTTGAAATATAATCGTGTACTCCTCCCTCGTGAGAATGTCAATCAATCGACATTGCGCGTCCCTAAGGTCGTACAAAACTTCTCTCAGGATTTATCCTCCGATAACAAAAAGAAAATAAAGGAGACGTCACAGAGACAATTAATAGAAAAATATAAAAGATTAAAAATTCCTTTAGCCGTAATCACAGACAAGTCTTACTTTCTTCACCCGCGCCGAATCGCACTCGTACGGTCTTAAAAACTCTACATACGTTAGTCGATATAAATATTATAAATATACAATCAAATATATATTAGTAGAGTCTTATCGTTACAATCGGTACGTCCACACATACATGACCATGGATTCGAAAGCCTTCGGAAAGTGTTTTCGCTTCTTTGAGATGTTGACGTGTCACTTGTACAGTACAAGGACAGAAAGTATGCATACACGTGTCTACGTACATTACAAATCCGCTCGTTTATACATTTTGATTATACCTGTTCTTGTTGTCCAAGCCTTACATGACGTATAATACTGCGCCTATCCCTATTTACAACAAACTTTTACAATACAATAAAACCATGAAAAAGAAGATTTATCTTACGATAATAACATCAGCGACACCCAGCTGTCATTGCTGTCATTATTGAAATCCATTAACTAAAGCGTCCGACGATAAATTGATGGTTGTCGTGTTTCTCACCATTAAGTAAAATAAATTACAAAATGAACGTAACAGCATCCGCTCAATTGATTATAAATATCGTACACATGCGTTACCGCGTTCGCTCTTTCACAATAGTTGTTAAGATTCTATGTCTCGTTGGATCCAAGCAAACTGTCAAAGCACCCTATCAGTTACGTCAGTCCTTATAAAACTCCGATGTAATAAGCGACAGTTCAACAACGATCTCTTACTAGCAAGGACTTAGTTTGGAAAATATTCATTCCATTCAACGAGACATCCGTGTTTTGCTTGGAGCTCGCTGAGCGATAAATCATGAGAGATTTTACGACGCATTTCATATTGTTGTACGACAGGGAATAGACGAAATTAGGATACTATGATATAAACAATTTCTCACTAGTGTATGAAAAAAATATCCCTACTATTCTGTACAAGCAGAGCCTTTCTCTGCACATCTCAAGTTTTCAGATCGAATAATAAGAAAGTATACGAGCACTACGTAACGACGATAATAATAATAGTAATAATAATAATAAACATGATAAAACGCCGGCATAACCATACGACACTTTAAATTACAATTTCCTAACGTGTCGCAAGTTGAATTAGGAAATGTTCTGTCCATTTAGAAAGACACTCCTGTTTCGCTTGCAACCAACAGAGCGATAATAAATCCATAAGGACTTTGCAATGGATTATTCATTCGTCGCGCCGACGAAGAAAAAAGGAATCCGAATTTTAGTGTATAAACAATTTCTCCTTATGAAAAAATATCCCTAATATTCTATACACGTTGAGTCCTTGTCTGCACATCTCGAATGTTTAGATTGATCAATAGGAAAATAGATACGAGGCTTTGTAACGATAATGATAATAATAGTAATAATAATAGAAATAGCAGCAGTAATAGTAGCAACAGTGCAAGTGCCAGTAATAGTTTAGCGATAGTAGTCGCAGTAATATTAACAATGACGGTATAGACGTGTCAGCGAAAATTGCCCTAGAGCGGTAATGACGGTACAAATGATATTAAGCACGTGACGATAATAGTCGTAACAAGGTCAGTAGCATTTCGTACTATACGATGCAAAATGAAAGTATTATTTTGGTGGTCTTACTTCGCTCTGGTGAAGTCTTCCGAGTTGAGTGATGTATCTGAATTATCCATTATTTGGTAAGTTTCGTTCGATTGGCGGCAACCGTAGCGAGACAAGCCAATGCTTCGAGGTCCGGCGACGCGCACCATGCTAAGAGATAAAAGTGATTTTAGCGTTTAATATAGTTTTCTCAAGTAAACGATTATTAAGTAAAATGGAATTACTTTTGTCATTTGGTTCCTGATCCAGGAGGCGTTTCGAAGCGTTGCTAGCAGCTGCATTTCTTGTTATGCTTTGCTTTCGGGCTTTTCGCTTTTGACTTCCAACTAACAGTTGCCTTTCCGCTTCTTCCTGGGCTTCGCTGAGTCTACCAGTTTGGGGAGACTTCTTCCCCTCGTGAGTTGCTTGTTGTTTCAAGAAATCACCTTGACCTCTTCTACTGGCAGTAGAGTTCTGTTTCTGCATAGTCTTTTTCTTGGTACGCTGCTGCTTCTTTTTTTCTTGGAACTCCTCCAGACTCAATGACGGCAACGCTTCGATTTTTTTCTCTAGATTAAAATCCCTGGAGAGATCCGGTAATTAACTTGTTGCTTTCAATTAAATAGACGGCTAGTAAAACTTGACAATAGATTAGGAAAAAGAAAACTCACTCAGCCCTGAATCTTTTGCGAGCTGTCCAAGGACCGTAATCTAATTGACTTTCGGCACCTTCGGTTTCAGTTTCCTCTGGTTTTGATGCCTCCAGTTTTCCTTCGGCACTGCAAGTATGAATGTACAATGTCAGCAGAAAGAGGGAAAGAAATTATCAAACTTGTAATTGTAATAAATTTTATGTAATTTACCTTTCCACAAGATGCTCCAATTCACTGCGTGAACTGTTACCACTTTCGCTACTCAAGGAATCAGTTTTTTCACTGACATTAGATGATATAGAATTTCTTCGTTCCGTGGTTTGCTCCTCAGAACTGCTGAAATAATTACACAATTATAATCAAAAAAGATTAATTATCATTAATATAATTATGAAATTTACCTGGATAATCCTGTGGTTCTCCTTCGTTTGTTTTGTTGCCCCCCTGAACCAACATTCCTTAATTGTTCTACCAAAAACTTTTGGTAGCGTAGACCTTTGCAAGTTCGTTCGCCACGGAAGGTATTTTCTTCGGAAGATCCATTTCCTTCAAAGTAAGTTTCACCATTGTTTTTTTCATCCTCGACGTTCTGAAAATTGAGATACCTCTATTAATTAAATTTTAGCAAAATAATCTTCAGAAGTTGAGTAGCTTCTAAAGTATAAGGATTCATTATTATTACTAATTGATGCTGATCGTTGTTATTTGACTCAGGTTTCGTGGTGTTCTTTTCACCAAACAAGTCAGCCTTGCAGTCTCTTTTCTGGTCAGGCGACACCGGTAGCTCGGTGAACCTCTTCTTTGGAGGTTTTGGAACATCGGTGATGTCATTATCTGTACTTAAATCGTCATCTCGTGTTTGGACTTTCTGTGGAGTGAATAAAGTGCTAAGGCCACCAATTTGAGATTCATCGGCCAACTTTCCAGGTTGAATGGCATCGGTATCGTGACCCTGATCCACAGGACTCGATTCAGGCTTCTTGTTAGTTGGTCGTGTAGTTAATGTACGGAGTGGAGGAGCAGGTAATTTATACCATTTAAAATCTGGATTTGCATTCAGAAAGGCATCCTTGTACTAAAACATAAATTTTACTGGTTACACATTTTTTAAACGAAAAATAATAAATAAATTACTTGTTTCGTACCTCTTGGGCTAAATTAGTGTACGAACGCTTCTGTTCCGGTTGAAGAGTAGCCCACCATTCTCCGAGCACTCTAGTTACAGCACGGTTTTCTAGATGCGGGAAGCCAGAACGCACAGATCCTCTGTGACGCTTGCAAAAGATGAGAAAGGCGTTCATTGGTCGTCTCGCATGGTGAGCTGGCTCCCGCAAGTCTTGTTGGTCCTGCATTTTAATTAAAACATATAAGTAATATTCAAAAACTACGCGACATACATATTTTTATATTATAATCTCTTTTTGTATAACAGCTTTCATCAAAGCTAAGAGCAACAATGCTACTATATTTGAGAAGCCCCTGAAATGCAACGTGTTAGCATAACGTTTTACATCATGTATTGCCCACTCAAACATTTATACCACATTTTGATCCAATTGGAAACGTTAATTAAATTTGTTACAAAAGTGTCAAAGTCTCAAAAGACCCGACCTACTCTATCCGATAACTGTAAATCTAAATTGTTATTTTTCTTGAAGCTATGCACTGCCTATAAAGTCTTTTATTAATTCCAGTGCAAAAGAGAATGTAAATTTTGGAACTACACAAAAGGCTAGTCCAGAGCTCGACATTGCTAACAATAAGTCCTCCGATTTCTCCCCAAAAAGATTTCCTTTGTTATTGGCTACACCTAATACCCTGTCAGGCTTCAGTAAAAGTATCTTAAATAAAAACATTGTGACCCAGGAAAATATTTCTGGTATTTCGAATCTAATCACTTTCCCTCATCAAATACTATACCAGGAGTCGTTCGACTCACCGAATGAAAAGATCTTTAAATCATCCAATTGAAGCAGCGATGGATTTCTCAAAGCAAGTTATGTAAAGCATAAAGAAAAGGCAAAGTGTAACCACTTGGAAATTAATTACGCAAATAATTATCTCATTGCATGGAAATCCTCGAATGCTTCTTTAAAAGGAACAATGGTAACTTTCTGACGAAACTGTCTGCCCGGAGTAAAAATGAAGGAAAAAAAAATGGGAGAAAAATCCCCTAATCATTCCCAGAGCCATGTTTAATCGTCTCAGCTCTCGCGATGAATGGGCCTCGTTCTTCAAGGAATAACCGCACCTCTATCCAGGCTCGACGAGGAGCTTCTCGTAGACGACTGGGTCGAACGGGTCGCCCAGTGACACCCTGTCACTTTCGATGACAGCTGGTCGCCTCGACGGTAAATATTGTTCTCCGTGGGCGAGCTCGACATCATCGTACGTCACGTCGATCAGCTGCGCCAATGTCCACGGCTGTTGGCTGTTTTCGCGAAGGACGTTTCCAGATCGACTTTTCAGACCCTAACCTCGCAAAAAGCTCTCCGTTTCCCGAGTATCTTTCCCCGTGAGAAACATTTTCCGAAGCCCGAATCGCGAAGTTCCTTCCGTGACGATGACAAAAGCTCGTCTAGCTGCGGAGATTTCCGTCTCGACTTCCACGGTCCATATCTCGGTTTCCTTTTCTCGTCCTACCTCGAAAAATTGTGAGAATCTCGGCCCCACAATCGGGAATCAACCGGACTCCGTCCCGTGCCTCGACTCAGTTTCATTAGGCCCGAAATTCGGCAGAAAGTAGCACGACTCACCTTCCGCTGTTGCTCGTTGGCAGCCATTTCTGATTTCACTTGACAATTCACTCAGAGACGCACATAATAAAGATAAAGCTCGGTCTGGTAGCTCCCTCTCTCGCTCGCACGCGTCGTGTGGCGCAAGCTCCGTCCCTCTTGCACCAGCGCCCCTTGCGCGCTGCGGTGAACGTAGCAAGTCTTTTTGACACTTGGAGGAAATCGGAAATTCAGAGAAAATCGACGATGATCCTACTGCTCACCCGATCGAATCTTTTCTGGGAGTGTGTTGCCCGTTTCGAGGGCTCCTCTCCGAGTTTCCAAAGGAATTCCGGGCTCTGAGGCTCCTTTTTTCGAGCTCCGACAGCTGGACGTTCTTCGTCGAGCAAACGTCACGGGTTCTTCGTAACGTCACGCTGCTTCGTCTTTCGCCTCGGGATTGCGCTCGCTTTCTTTGAGATAAATCGGCACTCGGCAGGGGCTATTTCTTAAAGATGGGTTCTGGTGTTGCGAGGCAACGGGATTCTTCGAAAGTTTCTCAGAGAAACGACGGCGTTGTTTGTCGGGGAGCGGAATCGCTGCTTGTTTTGAGAATTCTTTGACGTCTCGAGTTCGCGCCTCGCTATAAATTTCAGGCTTGCCAACGGCGGCGGCCGCATGGCGGCGCCACTGGCGGCAGCACGACTCGAAGTTTCTGCGCGCCTTTGTCGTTCCGAAATTAGGTGAGAAAGAATGAATTTCGGTTTATTGGCACGTTTAAGGGGAATTTATTTCCTGAAGAATTTTTTACGGTCTAACGAATGGTTTTTCAAAAATTATCTCGATGTTTACAGTACAGAGGTAGGATGGTAACAGTGGTTAATTAAAGCAGCAGCTCCGATAGCTCGATCGAGGTCTTTTATGGTGATAGTTCTAGTTCAATATTTCTTAACTTTTAAATATGTTTCTAGGTTAGGTTAGGAGAAGGCGTCGAATGTCATCTAAGGAGTCTTATATTTGAGTGAAATAAAAAACGTCGATAGGTATGGAGGAGTGGATACTTGTGTAGCTGCGTGGTAAACACGTGGATACTAGATATGGATGAGTTCTAAGATGGCATGGTATAAGATGTACGTATTGGCGTTATCACTTCCTTGGCAGTCCTTTTAAAGTTGAGGCAACTGTGGAATAATCTTCAATCTCATCTTTGATATTTATCTGTGTTTATATAGAATTTGAGTGGAATCTACCTATGTCATTTTGTGCTCGGCTCAAGCTCCTTGAACTAAACACCAGTCGACCGTTTTGGATCTTGTCCAATATTCTTGGCATGTAAGCGATTTGCATTCAATCTTTGGCTGACACATAGCATTTACCGCAAATGCTCACTTTTGAAAGCATTTGAGAAAGAATTTTTACTTGAACCGAGATGGAGGAAAATTCGGAAGCATCGATGCTCCGTTTTGACGATAGCGGCGATGAAACCTTAACCTCTCAAGAGGCGCTCCGAGAGATGGAAGCAGCTTGGTTGAATGAAAAGTTTGCTCCGGAAATCTTGCCTCACCAGTCTGACCTCGTTGACTGCATGTTGCAGCAGATAAGTCACATGGAGGAAAATATAAAGAAATTAGACAAAAGCGATCTAAGAGTAATTATCCACCGGATGGAGCTCGATAGGATCCGATATCTCGTCTGTAATTATTTGAGGATACGGTTGGAGAAGATTGAGCGGTACGTGATACATATTCTTTCTCAAGAGGCTCGAAGAAGCTCGGAGGACGGTTACCTGAATTCCCGAGAGCTAAGAATGGCCAAAGAGTATTTGTCCCACTTGGAAACGCTCTTCAGGGGAGTGGCACTGCAGCACATGCCAGCTAATTTTCAAGAATTCACTGTCAAAGACTTAACGGTTATGCCGAATATGCATAGTCACGTGTTCCTCAGAGCAGCTAAGAACATCTCTGGAATTATTTTGACAGAGGCCATGGATGAAGAAATTAATTTTGAGGAAGGCTCGCAGCACATTATTCGATATGGGGCAGTGGCTGATTTGGTGAAAAACAGGGATGTGCAGTTAATTTAGTTAACATAACTTATATGGATGGCTTTTCTATGGCAATCTCTATTCGTGTATACCGATCTCTTGTATATTTTTGGAAAATTGTTATATTGCATCTACTACTTATAAGTAGATCCAAATAAATTTAAGCACAAGGTTTTTTCTACTATATCAGATCTCAGCGAATAATAATTTTTTATCCAATACATTTAACTATGAACAATTAAATTGCATCTTACCTCTCGGTGTAACAGCATTCTAAGAAATACTGAAATGAGGCTCAGGATTGTCAGGATCATCTTCATAATTTTATCAATATTAATTATATTCAAACGATTTACAGTGGGTTATAAACAACAATCAGTCCATAGAAAGATGAGCGAGTTCCTAGGTGATGTATTAAATATTGTCCATTCTCCTATATACTTTATACAAAAAGAAAATAATACAAGTGCTAAACGCATGGATCTTCCATACAAAATGACGGCAATTCGAAAGGAAGACAATGCCTAATTATTAAAAAGTAATCACTAACATTTATGAAAATCTTTTCATATTTTTCCAAAACTCTGATAGTCGGATTCCACTGTTACCAATAGGATAAACTTTTCATCCAACTTGGCTGTTGATACCTTTAATTTTTTAACAGGTCGGCAGAATATGTGCAAGCACACAATATCTTATGAGACCGATGTTTTTTTGGAGTTTCTCACAATCGTCGGAAAATTCTACCAATAAGGTAGAATCAGACATCGGCACAAACTGTATGCATTTTCAAGCGAATCGTTGTCTAACCTGCCGCTTGCTAAATGGCCCGCCAAGGTTCTTTTACCACCGCTTTCTAAATAACTCTAAAAACAGCTCCGATACCCTGCTGGAACGATCGTTTCATTTTTGAGCGACGTCTCAGGAGCACGTGCCCTGCAAGGCGTACTCGAAGCCGAGACTCAACCAAGTGTCGACAACTTACCGAGCTGCAAAATCCGACACGGTGAGGTGCACTTAAGAATTCGCCTTCTAGGGATAAAAAGGAAACCAAGAACCGGTAGACCGAGGCGAAATTTCCCGAGGATTTCTAAAAAAAAATTACCCAAGTAACAAAGTCGAGGCTCGATTTTGAAAAACAGAATATATGTATGTATATATATATATATTTATATTTCGATGATCCGTAAACGACGGTCTAACCGGCAATGGAGTCTTCTAATTAGGACTTGGCTTTATTCCGCTAGAATGTAATCATGTATACGTTTTGATTTTTTTTTGGCTTTTCCTTTTTTTTCAGTAAATCCGCCTCGCAGGCGTTTTAGATTCTATTTTGATCTCCTTGCATCGAACTGTACAGATCTGCCGGAATGTCCACGTTACTCTAGACTAGACGGTCTCTATAATAACTCCGGGGAGCTCTCGCGTTCCCGGATTTCCTCGTTGCACAAAAGTCGGAGTGCACTATCGCGATCACTATAATCTTCATATGACACTGCGCTTCGGAAGAAGTCCATTGGTCGTACTTCTTAGGGTCTGTCGGTCCTATCTCACTCGCGCGATTTCACCAGGATGTCGATTCGCAGCTCGCTTGCGGTGCACGGCAGATTTCCACACGTCTAATTGTCGACATTTATTCTTCAGCCCGAGACACCGGGGCCGTCCTTGGGCGAATTGGTCGCACCATCTTCTCGTCAGTCACGGAACGTGACCCCTGGGAGTCGCTCACCTCAGCAGATTCGCCCCCAGAAGAGCCAGGGTCCCCAGCAAAAGAGTCGGGGTCACCTCGCAGCTCCCGCCGTGTTGCATGGCCGCTGGATGTTCTCCTGAAAGTTGATAAAGAAAGATTTTCTTAGAAAGCCACGCGAGAAGGACGCTTCTCTATAGCTCGGGCAAAAGGCACAATGTATGATACCTAACGAAAGTTTCGTATCAGTTATTTGTACGACTCCCTTGAACGCGTTGGTGGTGGAGAACGTACGCATCCAATATACAGGGCGTAACAAAAATGGTGGTCACGGTTTAGACAGCACTATCCTTGTTGAAAAAGGAGTCGAAAAGCTCTGTACTAATTTTTTCCTACAGTGCACAATTTTCCTGTAATAACAATTAAACAGGGAAATTACGCAATGGAACTGGATGCGATTAATTGGCTGTGCTTCAATTAATTATTACAGGGTAATTATGCACTGTAAGAAAAAATGGTACAGGACTTTTCGACCCCTTTTTCAACAAGGATAGCACTGTTTAAACCGTGGCTACCATTTTCGGGTACACCCTGTATAGCGGCAAGTTGTACAGGGGGAGGAAGACCGAAATAAACTAATTACCATTCAGCACGTGGACCATGACACTTGCTGGGTTGGCGTTGCTGGGTATACAGGTGTAATTTCCGCTGTCACTCAGCTTGGCCTGGGTGACCAGAAGCTTGCTGGTCGTCCCACTCTCCGTTTTCTCGGTCTCCAACGAAACTCCGCCCCTGTGGTGAACGCTGAATTATCAAAGATACTTTGCACCTGTTTCTGGCTCACACACCCTTAGTCTATCAGGGTGGAACTGTAAACTACAAAATGTTGGGAACAGGTGGAGCGCATCTCGGTGCGGTTCCTGGGGAAAACTAGTTAATTCGCCCGTGGGGTTTCTCCTTGTTAAGTTAAATAATTTCCTTCCCGCGGTTACTAGACTGCGTCTTAAAAGTGTCTGCAATTCCGGCGATAATGGCCGCTGAGAGGGATTCCCCTGAAGGGTCGGGGGAGAGAATTTCGTGTTTTATAGTGTCATGTAGGCGTGTCTCGGGTCGTCTGGGTGGATTACGTACCTAGGACTATCAAAATCCACCACGGCACCTCCGTGATGCCACGAAACACTGCTAGGAGGTGTACTTTGCACGTTAACCGTGCAAGTCAGACTTATCGTGCTGCCTCTTTTCACGAAGATCTCCTGCGGGCCCAGAATCTTCGCCTGCGCGGCTGCAACAAAATCGGAACGTCGAAAATATTTTATTATCTCGGGTCTACCTATTTTGCGGGGTGAAGGTATAAACCGATTATTTAACGAATAAAAGTAATAATCGTGCTTTGCCACTGCATGGAACTTTCGACGCCTCGTGCAGATAACTGGGAAGAGGATTTCTTTCAAAGTAGCGCTAAGTATTTCCTTGCCAATTAATGTCGCGATAATGCCTTCCTCGCGCGCACTTAGCGCTTTAATTGCAGCTGTGCTTTGGCTTCTGGACGCGAATGACATCCTTTGCCAGGCAACGGGAAATATGAAAATATCGGCGCAACGTTTAGCTCGGGAAATAATAGAGCAAACACGGCAGGTTATTTTTCAGGATAAAGTGACGTGAAAAAATAGGGAGCGGTGACGGCCGCGGGGAAAAATGTACGTGTATTACAGGCGCGCCCCCTCGACGTTTATTTTCCCGATTTAATTAAGCTGAGAGCACTAGATTCGTTGCGCATACAGTAACAACAAACTATTCCCGCGGGGCCCGAGTTTTTGGTGCTTCGCCGAGCTGCTCTTCGGGAATTATCGTTGCTACTCGATTTGTCCGAGTACTTGGCCAAGTGTCGAGGGCAACTCCAAGGGGACGAATGTGCAAGTGCAGGGAAAATGCTCACCGCGAGGAGGGACATTACCCGCGCACTTTCGCACGTGTTCCATATCGATGGAAATCCGGAAAAACGCGGAGACCTTTCTTTTAGGACGGTGCATCAAAAGCGGCCTTTTCGGCTAAGCATCGCGAAAGCCGGAGAGTACTTTCGTTTAGTAAAGTTCTAATCTAACCTGAGTGGAGCGTCCGATGAATGGTGTTCGATGCAGTGGCAGGGACATGGGCACTTTCTGGAAAGGGAGGACAAAATAGTCGGTAAGTCACCAAATTCGAGGAGTCTAGTCGACGTACTAGTAGTGTCTACCCATGAGGAAGAACCTGGTGGATACGCGATTCGGAAGGAGCTTTCGTGAATTCCCGTGGAGAAGGCAAGGATAATTAACTCATAAGCTGTCTCGTCGCAAACGGTCTGAATAAAAAAAAGGAGTACTTTTGAAAATTTACTTTTATCCAGAGGGATTAATTTCGGACGTTTTCGTAGATACACCTGGCCTGCTATACTCGGGAGGAACGAAGGATTCATCTTGGGTAACTGATAATGATCTAATTCATTAAGTGATAATCCTTTACCCGGAGGGATTAATTTGGGACTTTTTGTAGATACACCTGCCCTGGTGGGTCCTCACCTGCGATGCTCAAGAGGAAGGCCATATTCATCTTGGGCTCGGTGTTGACTTGGCACTCGTAGATCCCTTCATCCCTAGGCTGGACGTAGTCGATCCTGAGCCTCCACTCGTCCGAGGCCTCCGGATGCTTGACGGAGAATCTGTCATCTCCAGTGTAAGTGTAGACCGACGAGGTCAGGATGTGCAGGTCTCTCTTCCTCATCCAGGATATCTGTCGAAGAGGATCACGGGTGAGATTCTAGGTGGAAGTATGTCCCGCGTTATGGAGATGGATCTATCGGGATCCTGATTTTTTAGGAGGGATTTGGGACCACGGGATAACTCACCGTCCGGTCGCCGAGATGTTTGACGTGACAGCTCAGCTCCGCCGATTGGCCCACGATGGCTGTCAAGTTCCTGGGCGAGATGTCATCGAAATAAGGCCTCTCCCCGGTATTCCCCGGTCTGTGGTTCCCTGCCACCACGCTGGAACCGCCTGCCAGGAAGGAGCAAAGGCAACGGATAAATACCTCTAATTTCTCAGTTTAATCTCAAACGCAGGGCGCACCTAGGGGAGTCTATTTCTCTGGGTTTCTTTCCCACCGGAGAGACGAGAAAAGATGGGGAATGAAGTTAAGCCAGACGCTACGTCGCAGGCTTAAACGTAACTTCGTTACACCGTTTCGAGCCAGGAAAGTTACTGTACGTTTTAGGTCCTGAACCCGTTTTATGCCTCTCCAACGCGTCGCGCGACATGATATTCCGCAGGGAATTTCGCAGGACGGAATCCCGTAATAAACGCGTCTCGACGCACCTGCGAACACTTGGGAGAAGAAAGGGAGGAAACGGGAGGAAACGTTCCCGCAATCGACGAGAGGTTCGCGGCCCCTGTTTTTATAACCCGACGAGGGAGCCTTCTTCGCCGGGAATATCGCCGACCCCTAAAGTGAATTTTTTGGGAACGCCTCGATTAGATCCTGAAGACACTCGGAGGGGACCGGCGAAGATGGAAGGTACGTCGTTGAGTTAAGACGCGGTCTTAAAATCAGTCTTAAGCCCGGTCTTTCGTCCCCGGGGTGGAGTAATATCGTCGCGTTAACGCGTCCCAAGTATCAAATTCATCGAGATAATCTGGGACAGATTTACGCCAGGATTATAACCCGGCGGACTTTGATCATCCTGACCGTCATCCATATGCAAGCGAGAGACCCCCCAAGATAATGAGAAGATGAACGTCGCCAGGATTCCACGGAGCACCCTTATTAGGACGTGGAGGTGCGACTCGGCTCCGGATCGTTATCGCCTTGGCCAGCTCGAATCACGTCCTACTTTACCGACCTCCTGAGCACCTCTATCTCGCCCCGAGATCGGAACCTTTTTCCCCGGTCGGCGTTATACATTACGCGTCCGGGATAAAGGATTTCAATAAAAAAAGGGGACCGGGCAGGCTACTTGAAAAGAGGATCAAGAGGCTCAACGGCGACGTCTCGCCCTTCTCAAACGGTCCGAAATTAGCGACCTCCGAGATAAGGAATTAAGGGGATGTAAAACTGGCGTCAAAGAGGCCTCGTTTATGAAACTTTTCTCCGGAGTGGGTGTACCGAGTCCTTTCGGACTTGACGATGGGAATATGAAGGCTATAAGGAAAATCCCTATTTTTTTTTTTAACAATTGTTTATAGACATTTTCAAAAATGTTGTATAAAATGTGATATTTTATTAGTGCTAGGACTTTCCTTATAGATTCTATATTCACATTGTAAAGTTTGAAACGATTCGGTACACCCAGTTCGTAGGAAAGTCTCATGAACGATTGATCTTCCGCATGCCACTCTCGCACCCCCTTAAGGACACCTTTTAATCCGTCAACGTTTACGGGGGATTTCGCAAAGATTTAACCATTCCGCAGTTGTACGCCATTAGGGCGCGCAGTGTATCAACATTGCCACCCCGTGTCTCCGCTTCCGGATTCCACCGGCGGAGAGCTCTTCTAAACAATGGGGACCTTCGTTCACGAGAGTATTTAAGGTCCACTGGGGAGGAAAAGCAGGAAGAAGAAAGAAGAAATCCCGGCCAATATCCGCGAAAGCGAGCACCCTGTGTCCGGAAAACGCACCCGACCCGCGTGCGTACCGTTATCATTCCGCCCGGGCGTAATGGCCCTCCGCCCACCCTATCAGGCTCGCATTAGGCCGCTTTTTCCCCTCGCCCCAAAAATCGCAACGACCCCGAAATTAAGCGCCATTACAACGGCGAGTCGCCACTTTTGCTCTCCCCTGACAATCCGACCGGATGAAGGGCGTTCGATCGGATTTTAAACATCGAAGCCGGAGGATGACCCGATCGGCCCTAATTCGGCCGGGGTATTTCGAGCGGTGCTATCTTCCCCAGCGACGATAAAAGTTGCCGCGCGAAACAACGCGAGCCGTGTAAAACGTCGATTTTCCGCCGTGCCGGAGTTTGATTACCCAAATGGGTTCGCTCGTATCTGGCGATTCGCCAAAAAACGTCCGATTCGGCTGATTTAATCGACGCCTCGCGGCGCGGCGACTCGGGAAACAAAATGGCGGACCAATATGGCGGACGCGCCACCTCGGGGGAGAGAGAGAGCGGCCCTCCGCGAGAATCGGCACTCGGCCTCGTAAAAACCGGCAGAGCCTAGGATCTTCATATAAATTTAAACAAGATACATAATGAAATTTCCGCGGGACGGACCGGAGGTATTCGCGGATTAGTGGGGCAGTTAAAAGCCCCGTTTCAACGCGCCGCGGAAGGAATGCGATGCTCCGGCTAGAGGGCGCTTTCCGCCATGAAATCTGGGCGCTTCCCGTCAGACTCTCGCCGAGTGTGCTCCAACGGAAGTAATGTACTGAAATTCACTAAAACCGCGGCCTCATTGGCCACGCTAATTTACGGCTGGTCCGGAATTTTCATAAAGGAAGTTCATCGCGCCCGAGAGTCCCTTGTTCCTCTTCTATCGGGAATAAAGAGGGAGTTCCCCGAAACGCGCGGCGTTTCTTTCGCCCTATCTATGGGCGGAATTTTCGGACAACCCGGGACCTCGTTAGGCGAAGAAGTTAACCGCGGCCCGTGCCTCCTCTGGGCGCACTTCCGGTCGACGTCTCGTTATTCGGGGGAACTTTCTTCCGAAGAGGCATTAACTTCCGGCTGACGGGAGATCCCCTTCCCCGGGGAAGTCGCGAGCCGAAAGGGGCCCGGTCCCCTCCGAGGGGGATTCGTCATCGTAAATCCATCGACGGGGAGGACTTTACGACTCCTGACTCGGTCCCGGCGATATGTCAGCCGATACGTCTCGGAAATCGCGCTAAGACGTCCGAAAACGGCTAACAAGTTCGGATTTACTGTCTCGTCCCGGGCGCATCCCTTGATTTATCCCCATTCTCCGGATGCACGTCCCGTTTCGAGGAATAAAGACTGGCCAGCTTCCGGAATCGTAAAAGATGCTTTGTATCGAAAAAAAAAATTCCCCGACTCAGAAATATGCATTAACAAAAGAAACTCCTGCGATCCTGTCGGGAAGAATACAGGGAATTCGTTTAAATCAACGATATCATTTTTCTTCCCGACGGAATAATTCTCCCTTGCAATTATACACGATACAGGTAACGATATATATATTGGTTTCGGTCAAGGGGCGATTTGGCAGTTTCACCCACAAGAACATTTTTTATCCAATCCACCTGGAAAAGCTTTCTCATAACGAGAGATGAAAAATATAATTTTCTATGAAAAAATAAAATTAAGGGGTGAGCCACCCCTCACAGGCCTTACTTTGGATAGTGGTTTCACCCCCTTAAAGTGTTTAATGGCAGATAAAAAAAATACGTGTCGCTTAGTTTTTAGTCTACTGTAACATATTATAAAAGAAATCAAATCGGAGAGATCGAACTGGGATACCTTCATTATTAGTTAAGGCACGCTGTCCGAAATTTGGAGCTGGCGCGAAATCCGGCCGCGGTTTTTCGGTGGAGGAGAGAGAAGAGAGGAGGTTACCTCGAAGATGGCGAACGGGAGATCTTCGAATAGCTCGTTTCTCTTTGGCCGAGTGAAGCATTGCTCCGAGCCGAGCGTATCGAGCACCGTGTAAAGCGCGTGTCGTACCCTCCCGTTCGCCACTTCCTTTCAGGAGCTTCCAGGACCTTCCCTTCGGGAAAGGACCTCGCTTTACCGCCCTCCCTCTGCCCGTCGTTCGCCGGGTAAGGACCAAACAAAAACAATGATTTACCGCCGTCTAATTCTCCCGCAACGCCGGAAAGAGGGACGAGGCTGCTCTTATTTACGATCGAACGGATCCGGCCAGCAGCTTAAATAATTCCTCCGTTTTTCGGACGCGATGCAGCGCCAACCCCTCTTATAAAATCGGCCCCGACTTATTCTTCTTTTCTTTTCTTTTTCCCCTAGGAAATGTCGCCACCTTTGAAATACCTCCACCCCGAAAGAAACATTTCTTTGGACGATGGCAAAGAATTATTTCTTTAATCCGAGGAACAATTATTCTGACCGAAATGCACTCGAATAAATAGGATGCAAAGTTTCTTCGTAATGATTGCAATATATCCGAGAGGTTATTCCAGTAAAATAATTATTCCTTGAATTCGCAAAAGATTTCTTTGGGTCAATGAATTTTTTTATTTTTTTTTTTTAATTTTTTTCCCCTAGGATGCGAATATCTCGAATAAACTCGACTCGGTCCTCTGCGGTCTGGGTGGGAAAAAGACTCGACGTTTCCCGATCGGGCGAATAATTAGCCGCGGCAATGCATCCCAATGGCCGGCCATGAAATCCTTATTCATGATAGCATGGATAATCGACCGCGATTCGGGCAACCGTCCAAACCTGCCGAAGAGGTTCCCGCAGACTTTGCGAAAATTGCCCGCAAGCTTCGAATTATGCGACCTCCCATTACGTCCTCCTGGCGATTTCGGGAATTTGCTTTAGGTCCACCAGGAGGACACGTTTTCTCCCCCGAATTGCGTTATCGCGTTGACGATAATGGCCTTTCGGATTTTTCTGGTTTGTTTGTGGAAGTCTCCCCTGTCGCTCCTTGTTTGCGAGAAGAGAGAGGAAAGTCGAGTTGAAATTCGGCGGGGATTTTCCGCCTTGGAGGAGGTCGAGGATGGAGCTTTCTCGAGGGAACGCGAGTAAACGGCGACGAGGGCTTGATGCAATTCGCCGTAACGAGGTATCGGGAGATCCAAGAGCGAATTAGTCCCGGCAGAAGAGATTCGCTTTCTAATTGAATTGCAAAGCACGAGGCGAATTAACGTTACGGATAGGAGACTTCCGCCGAGCTCTTCGTCAAAAGGTGCAGCCGACAACTTGGGACGTCAAGGAGGTTCCTGGCCCTTTCCTAGGAATTTATGTTATCCCTTCTATTTTCAATCTAGGAATTAATGTTATTTCTTCAATTGGCCTAGGGTGTCGTTCCCTTCAAGCCAGTTTTACAACGTATAGATATTAACTTTAATCAACCGTCAGCGTATCTAACGCATTTTATTAACGAGACTTCGAAATTTATTAGTCAAGGAATCCACTTCGAGTAAGATAAAATATAATACGTAAATATAATAAATGGGCCTTATTAAACGAAGCCTTTCCTTGTCGCCGAATCGATAAATCGATAAGGGATGCCGACCGAAGACAGGTTGAAATTTCCCAGGAACGTGATTTCGCGACGCGAGACTTCTCCCTTTTCCCGAGGACGATTCTTCAAAGGAAAGCCGGTCGCTCTCTTTATGGATGTCCAGAATTCCTGCCGGGAGAAATATGGAGCACGGGGCAAAGGGGAGGGTCAGTTAAAAGGGAAAAAACCTCGGGGAGGAAGAGAGAAGTGGATACTCGCGGAAGTCGCGGAAGCGGAGGGCGCCCTTAGAGCGGCGAGAACTCCTGGGATTTTTTTTATCTCCGTTTTCCTTTCCCGTTTATATAGATATATTCGCCCTTTTCCTCCTTTCAACGTTTCCTTTCCTCGAAAAGAGTCCTCGTCCCTCAGAGGCCGGCTGCACCGCGTCGCATTCGACCAAGGAAAGCGTCTTCGAGGCGCCGCTTAAGGTCGTTAGAGTGGCGAAAATTGACTGCCATTGTTTTTCCTTTTTTTTTTTTCCCCAGAAGCCTGTCAAATTTCCCGGAAGTCTCCGCTTGCCTCGGACAATGGCTTGGTACCAGAGGTAACAATCGAGAAGAAATTTCGCCCGTTTCGCGGGATTTCAGGGGTGGAGTCGCCGCAATTAGGGCGCTCTTTAGAGATGCGACGATTCCGCAGAACCCGGGACCTTCATCCAATTTCAATCAGAACCTGCGGGATTTCGCGATACCGCGGAGATTTCGAGGATCCTTGACATCCTGCGAGACTTTTGAGGGTTTCCACGGACTTTCGAGGATTCCCCATGGCCGAGGATTTTCGATGGATCCTCGGAGGATCCGCCGGGATGATTTCCAGGCTTACAGGGGCTGCGCGGGATTTCGGAAAACCATTGAAAAAACAATCAGCCGTTAGCCTCGGGTTGGCGGAAAATATTCCGCAGCATCCCCGGACCGAGGGGAAAGTATCTTCGGAAACGCCGATAAGAATATTATTTCATGCACTCTCATTCAGGGGGTAATATTACCACCCCCCTGATCGATCCCGGGGATGAAACGCCGTATCGTCACCCCATAGAAAATCGCCGTTTCAATCGGCTCGGATTTTCCACCCTCGGTGGAAACTGATCCACGTTAATCCTGCAACGACGCTCGACATTATACATAGAACTTAAATGAAATTCATTGATGCCCTGCATTTATCGCAGGTGCAAGATAAACATTCTTCGGTGCTATCAGGAGCAATGAGACCTCATGGAGCACATTTCCCCGGTGGTATCAAGGAGGCCTTGACAGTCAACGAAAAGATAAACGACACTGCGACGTGTCGGACCCGCGAAAAAAATAACGAGGATCAGGAAGGAAGGCGTCCCTCGTCCTACAATCGCAAAAGTTGTTTAATGACGAATAATGAGCTAACGATGAGCCGTCTCGTTGAGAGACGTGTTGATACAAGGATTTGCAAGTAAACTCGAATTGCGCAAGAGCTGCACGCCTCGAAGATGACGTCTTTGCAAAAATCCGTCTCTTTCTTATGTAGCTTTTTCTAGCCTGCGAATTAGTCTCGGACTGCCGCTCTAAACGAGTAGAGACGTCGAACAAAAATGTCTTGTCAAAGTTAGCCGTTGGTGGTTCTTAGTGATTGCAGAATCCAAGTTCAAGATCGGTGATAACGCACCCCGAGAGATAAATCCTGCGTCGGGGCAGGTGCGGTACTTGGCGTGTAACGTTTTGGAAAAATCAGCCGTTGGTGTTTCTTACTGATTGTGGAACTCAAGTTCAAGGCCGGTGATAACGCACCTCGAGGGATAAATCCTGCATCAAGACGCGTGCAGTACTTGGCGTGTGGAATTACCGCACCGATAAGAGAGCCTCGCGTGCGAGTCGGGCATCAATTCTTCCCCCGTTTCCGACATTTCACGATTATTACCAAGAGTAATTGAAACCGATGTTTTTACGACTCCTTCGTCTTAAAATGAGTTTCCTTTTCCCTCCTCTCGTTAAACCTCGGTGGGAACGATTCAATGTCATCTTGCCGATGGAGGTTCAAGTGAAACCGACTTGACTCCACTGTTAGATCGCAACGATTTCGTAAACTTCAATGAACGGAAGCTCTTATTGCGGACCGCTGTACTCCGGGCATGGATTCGTTCACTCTTACGTAATTGGACCAATTGAAGCGCAAGTAACGAGAAGATTGGAGTAACCGATAGCGTGATAAGGAAACCTCTGGCTAGAGGCGAGTCCCTTTCGCGCACGGAATGACTCGCGGTTATTGTCTCCTAAATTGAATTTTCCTTTTCAAGGAAAGTCGATTATGGAACAACGCGGCTCTATGAACAAAGTCAGGAAAGATATTTCCCTGACTTATCAGCCCTTGGGGCCCGATTTGACGGATCTGCTAACAGAGTATCCCTGTAATCATCGATCGCTCATCGGTTCGCTGCTAGAAAATACGTAAATCACGGCGAGATAAGATATCGATTGAACGACTCGTTTTTAATTTTAAAATCATTTCAGATTATTGGGGGCAGATATTTGCAATGCTGTCAAGATACGGCATTTATCAATATATGCCGTAATTGTTGCCGTCAAGATACGACAATACGGACGGCATTCCTTGATGATGAGTACTTGGGGATGACAGAAATTTATAATCAAGTTTCGTTAGATTTTGCCTGACGAAACAAATCGACTATTTTGTTTTCCCCCAATTCTCGACACGTAAGATTGTCGCTTTTTTGCGTCGATACCGCCATATCACCTGATAAACTCGATCTGACAAGATAATCATAACGTGGGTTGGTAAATACACGATTGTACATGACAGTCATGCAACTCTTGATATTGCGTAAAGAGGTACACTTAGTTGTGTCATCTACGCACGGAGCGATTACGCGATTCGATTTGAATATAGGCGAATTCGGAATTAGAATTGGGCCTCATTTTCCATCTGTTTTTTTTTTCCGGGGATTTCGGCGCGTGGAGCAAACACTATGGCGTACAGCTGTGGAATAATTAAGAAAGTCGGTATTTTGCGAAGGTTCCGCGTTCGTTTACCGGTGGTGGAGGTTATCAAGACGTTATCGGGTCCCTTGCGTTGCGTTTAAGGTGAAGGGGAAAGACGTCGAGGAACTTGATCAACGTTGGTAAAGAGGATTTTCCTAAATACCTACGTTGTCGATGTTCGTTTTTATATTGACAGCTGTTTCGAATTATATTGGGGTTTGTACTAAATGGCATAGTCCATCGTACAATAATTATAAAGAAATCGTTTAAATGCGAATTTCGCACGAAAGTCGTACAATTGTTCTGACCCTTTCGTTTCTCATAGTCTTCAAAAATTGGACATCGATCGAAATATGAGAGGTCGACGCCATTTTGGATCTGGTCAGAGCTAAGTTAAGAAATCTTTGTTTTTTCCGAAAATCCAAATTTTCAAACCGTCAGGACAATTCCTAGATGCTTGTAAGTCATGTGTCAAAATTTCAGTCATTTCGATCCAATACCCTTAAGAAAAAGTGTTTTATTCGAATCGACTGGTTTGAGGGGAGTTTGACTTCACCTTAAGGAACCGTAATACTGGGGACCCTGGTGCCCCCTTAATTATGTGCAATTAATATGGCAAATCGTCCTCGAAGCCGCTCGCATGGAAGCTCCTCGTGCGGAGACGCGAATGACGGTGCAGCCGCGAATGCGCCGCGCTAGTATATCATTAAATGACCCGGCACAAATGCCGCTTATTTATCAGCGACGAGCCAACAAAGGCAGTCGCAATTCTCCCGGACGAGTATAAAGCACGCGAGGAGACGAACGCGCGGGAGATTCGCCGGTGTTCGCGCGCACTTCGCCTCATCCAGTCTGTGAAAGAAGACCGCGAGACATTTTCGGGGAGGCGCGTCTTCTTATCGCGAGCGCCCCGATAGAGCGTCGGTACACCGGGACGGCAGACAACCGACTGCAGTGACTCGCGCTAGAAACGTCATCCGAGTGAGTTCGAACTCCTAAAAAATGAATCTACGATACTTTATCAAAAACCTTGAGTGGTACCAAAGAAGAATGAATTCAAAGAATTTCACTCAAATCAAATAAATTGAATTCTGGTGATTCCGAAAACCACGTCGCATTCACTGCATCGAGTCGGATGAATATTCCTCGAATTAACCGAATATTCCTTCGGGATGATTCAAAGAAATATCTCACTGGTTCAATGCATATTTCTTTGGGCCGATCGACTTATGCAATCAGTATACCGTACCTGATATCATTTTAATCGTTATCAGAATTGGAGCGTACTTTTTATAACGGGGTAGCCGAGTGCACCGAGAACGAAAATTTCATTTAACCAAAGAAATATTTATTTTAATAGTACCTAAGAATATGTTAATTCAAATAATAATTCAGAATTGTGAGAATTGATTTCAGCCAAATAATTATTCCTTGATTTGACAATATATTCCATTGGTACCGTTCGAAGAAATATTTCTTTGGTTCATTGGATTTTTTTTTTCTCGGTGGACCGAGCAGGACGCGTCGCCGCGTCGTTCGCAGCGTCGTCGGAAAAGAGGAGTCGAAAGAAAAGGAAGAGGAGATATAGGCCGTGTATGATTCTCGTTCGACCTCGGATTATCAAAAGTTGTTTCTCTGCTTCCAGCAGATAGGAAGTTATCGGCATCGAGCTTGTACTCGAGGAAACCTACGCACGCGACGCGGCGCTCCGGCGTCGCCGTAATTCTTGGCGGTATCGCGACTCGCGTTGCACGTCGAATGCAACTTCCGGGGTTGCTCCGGGCGATCCGCCCGAGTGTACCGCTTTCGCATTACTCCGGGATTAATGGCGGGCCGATAACAAAATGTTTACACAGACGGCACGCAACTAGGCGGCCTCTGTCGCGCGGAATCGAACGAGCCGACGCGGCCTCGCGGGAGCCATCTTGTCGGCGCCGCGGCGCCGCTCTCGATACGACGCCCTCTTCATTTCCGGTCCGCTTGCCCCCGACGCAAAGGAAAAGCGGAATCGTTTTAATTTCGCGGACACGAGTCCCTTCCCCACGACGACGTCGCCTTTGACGCGACTAATTCACCGCGAAGGGCGATACGATTGACGAGAGATCGCTCGACTCGTTTTCCACGGGGTTTTCCATGGGTTTCCCAATGGTTTCCTGCATGACGTTTCCGCTCGAGAGGGAATCGCAGAGATGAATCGCGACGAGGATGAGGAAGGAAGAATCCCCTGGAGGGACCATCGAGGACCCTCCGCTTCTCGGCTTCCTCGCATTTCCCAACCCGTGAGATAAAAAAAAAATTTATCGCACCAAAAGACTATTCCTTTGAATAAAGAAATATGTCGTTAATTCCAAGAATAGTTATTTCATTTAAATGAGCTCACAATAAATCGTCAGGATTCCAGGGAAACGTTGCGTACAATTTATTCGAGGTGGATTCGAAGAATTGTTTCTTTGGTTCGACGAAAAATTTTTTTATTCTCAGTGCAGCGGATCGTTTGAGGAGTCTTATCGGAGGAGGAGAAAAAAAGGATATCTCCTGGAATAATTCATATTCGACTTTCATTTTCGAGGCTCCCTTTTCGGAAATCTCATCCCTGGTTTCCCTTGGTCGACGGTGGGAAAAATTTGGACAACGGGGGGTCTCGTTAATGTTGCGGAATTGGTACGCGAATTCCTGTCACAAATTGTCGGTTAACGGAGATTTAGCATGCGTGGTCGGCCGCCTGACAGTGTCAGGTGTTATGAATAATAATGCCGCGCAATCTCCGAAACGAACGCATAATCACGGGCGATCAATCCGTTCATTAGGGAGGACGGCCCTGCCGAAAGAATCGCAGCGTGCTTCCATTTTTACGGCATGTCATTAAAAGCCACGAGGATGTTAAGTATTAATCGGCGCCGGGTGTGGCGGTGAAAACAAAACGTTGAAAGATTATTCATGAGTGGGGGGGCTCGAAACTTTGCCCATTTAATATGCTCCGGGGGGATTCATATTTTTGCTAAACGCGCGGGGGTAAGTATTAAAAGCGACCGGTAACCGGGTGCATTAATAATAAAAATATGGTGAAAAATTATTCACGAGACGTTTGAGACCGTTGCAATTTAATACGACCCCGGAGACTCGTATCCGGAGCGTGTACCTAAGGAAATGAATTATTTCGTAGACGAGGCCCCCCGAGTACGGCGAGCTAAATTTCCTTTGTCGAAATTCAATTTTAACTCCCGCCAACTTTCCTCCCGATTTTTCCCTTTCTCTTCTTTTCGTCCTAATACGGGACCATCCGCGGACGGTGATACGAGAAAGGGGGGTCGATGGTGGGCAAAATTTCGGTCGTTTATCACGCCCCAAGGTGTTATCACCGAGGTCCGAACTCCTCACGAGCGCCGAGATGTTTTTGCCTCTTCTTGATATCAGGGTGATCCTGGGGGAATTTTCTCGGGACCGCAATTGCCACGGAAACGGTAACTAGCTTGTCCCAGGTCGTTCCGAAACTGTCCCAAGGCAGTTCGAGACAGTTCCGGAACGTCCCGATTCGGTTCGGGAACATCCAAAGTTAGTTTCGGGTCGTTTAACCGAAGTCCCGGATCGTTCGAAGGCAGTCCCGGCTTGTCCCAAGAGAATCGCGGGATATCATCCACTTCGGTTCATCTCGGACCCCGAGTAATCCCGAAACAATGAAGACTCCTGTCCCGAACTTTGTTCGAAAATTCCCGCCCCGAAATACAGCCCCCTTAAAAACGACCCCAGATTTCTCTGTCTCGACGAAGATCTCTAAGCTTCGCAAAAATTGGCCAAAAAGGAAAATTCAAAAAGGAAAAATTCCACGAAAATCGTAATAATCGCGGCATTTTAATGGAAGGTTATTTGATTTTATTCCCCTCTCCTGTTTAATTTAATTCCTTGAAATGTGTGAATTTTTTAACAACTCTCGTCGACCTCGGCTTTCGGATCCAGAATTTAATCAACGTTTCCGCTTCCGCAGAAATGGCAAACCCAGCTTTGGACTGCATAACCGCGGACTTCCTGGAGAAGATCCTGCGGAAGTCCGAGAAGGACGACACGATCCGGGTGTCGAAGATCTCGACGAAGCCGGCCACGAACAAAGGCGACAATTACACGAGCGACATGTACCGCGTGGTGGCGGAGCTTTCGCACGTGCGGAACGGCCGCAAAGTCAACGAGAAGTCAGTCATCGTGAAGATAGCGCCGCAAGACGGCGTTCGCATATCTCTGGTAATATTTCAATATTCCGCGTAATTGGGGAAGAAAAAAAATGGGAAAAATCGTGGAAAGTTCGTCCTCGAGATTCGCGCAATCCGCGTCTCGACGCAGCCGAGCCTGCACTTAGATTAGGAAAGTCATTACATTCAAAGGGAATGGCTTCCCAATTTATCGGATTCCATTTGGACCTACGAGGGATTATTCCGTAATCCTCCGCGTGACTTTACGTCGGAACTTCCTGGATTAAGTTCCCCGCCATTACTGATAAATAAAGCCGGGAATAATATATTAACATCGCGTCGGATTTGCGCGTTCTTTTTCGGCGGGCGAGCAATCGACGTCCCACGCGGTGGTCTTTCTTTTTTATTTCTTTTTTTATTTCTCAGGATTTTAATCCGAGCCTCGTAGAAGAGCGGATAGCTGTCGGGGGGGAATTAAAAGCGTCGTCGTCGGTCATCGGCTCATTATTTCCCTCGGCATCCGTATTAGAAACGAGCAGTTATTCCGAGCTTTACAATCAAGCGGCACTTCGCAGATGGGTACTTATTTGGATAGAATTGTGCATCTCTGTATAGCAACTGATTGGAACAGGGGTTGCATACCGATATCGATTGTCGCGGTTACGAGTGCTCTTAGGTCGTTGCCTTTACGGGGATTTGCTGGAAAAGCGGAATTATCTGAATTTATGGGAGAGAATGATTTTCCATAAAATTCCCCTATGGATTTCCTGGCTACAGGTGGCTTTGCGGTTTCTTCTTAGCCCTTCAATATGCGTTTTAACCCTCAAATCATTTAGGTCAAGGACTCAAAGATTTTCGACACGGAAATTACGATGATGCTGGAACCGCTGACCAGGATGAACGAGCTCCTGGGACCTCCTCATCGGTTGAGCGCCCGATGTCTGTATTACCAACTTCAGGACCCAGTCCTCCTGGTCCTGGAGGACCTCGCACCTCTAGGATTCCGAATGGTCGATCGACAAGCCGGCCTCGACTGGGATCACTGCGTGCTCGCCCTGAAGAACCTGGCCAACTTCCACGCGAGCTCCGTCGCCCTTTGCGAGAGGGTGAGTTTCCTCGCTTTCCCTCTTCCCCAAGAAACGGGCTCCGATTAATCCCCCTTGGCCCCTTCTGCCCCCAGGAGCCGAAATGGAAGACGACATTCGTCAATGGTATATTTCGCAAGAACGCGGTCCCCCAGCTTGCGGCATTCTTCTCCAGGGGGACGAAAGCCCTCGGCGAAGAGGTCGCCAATTGGCCGGAATTGGGGCCAAGGTACGTTCAAAAAGAAAAAAAAAAAGGAAAGCCCGGAGAGATCCTCGATTTGGCAAAGACTGGTATTGATTGTGGATTTTCGTTTCTTCCTCCAGGTACTCGGAGAAGATCCTGAAACTAGCGGATGTAGCTTATGAAAGAGGCGTCAAGGCGGCGGAGTGTCGGGAGGGCGAGTTCAACGTTATCACTCACGGTGACTTTTGGGTTAACAACATGCTCTTCCGCCACGACGACAAAGGTCGGCCCATCGACCACATTTTCGTAAGTGATGGGCATTAATTTGAAGGATATCTCGACGGGGGAGGCGTGTAACCACTCTCGATCCTTTCGCCAGTTCGAGTGCCTCTCTTTAGGCTACTCGTTTCCTCGTCATCCTCTCGTGCATGCTCCATTCCCCGGGTGGAGCATCGCTGCATTAATTCTCCCCGGGGGATTTAATTTAAAAGTCAAAGCAAAAACCTCCACCACCGGCGGAGGCCGGTTATTAACAAAGTCTTGTTCGACAGAGCGTATTTTTGCCAGGCCGCTTTCAGGAAGCGGGCCCAAAAACCCGAGACGCGTTTTCGAAAATTGTTTCCCTGCCTCCGAAGGTTGAAAGAAACATCTCCCACGTCGCTTTCGAAGCGAGAAAGAAAATTCGACGGTCCCCCTTAATTTCATTAATTAAAGTACAGCCGTGGGGAGGGAGGGGAGGGCGTTTCAAGACGTCCGAGTTCCAGAGTTTCCGGCGAGTCGTAAATTACCCGTGAATTTCGGCGAACAAAATTTCGGCCCCATTTGGCTGCAAACTGCCGTGAGACGCGTTATTTATCGGCCGTCCTTTTTGCTCCTCCCATTTCCTTTTTCCGTTTTTTTCCTCCCCCCGTCTTTTTTTTTTCTTCTTCTCACCAAGCGCCGGCAATCCATCCATTCTCGCCGGACGACCGAAACGTTTGCATCGGTGTCGAAAAACGGTCTCGATCTTCCAGGTCGACTTCCAAATGTGCGCCTACACTACTCCTGTGGTGGATCTTCAGTACTTCCTGTACACGGGGCCCACGCAGGAACTGTTTGAGGAGAAGGCGAAGCTTTTGGAAGAGTACCACAAGATGCTTTGCTCGACCATGGCGCGGCTGGGCTGTAAAACTGCACCTCCTACTTTCGAGACCCTGAAGAAGACGATGGAGGACCGCGAGGATTACGGGATGATCGCCGTTTTCACGGTGCTTCCGATACTCCTCGTCGACAAGGACAAGGCCCAGAGCCTCGACGAGCTGATGAACAACAAGGAGGAGTACAACAATTCCGGCTACAAGTGCTCGATCTATCGAAAAGTCATGACGAAGCTGCTGCCCTACTACGAGGCGAAAGGGATGCTGGATTGATAAATGTCATTTCTCCCGTTTAGAGAATCTAGGAAACGACCGGTCTCGGTTTTTACAGTCCTGCCCTGAGAAACAGACGTCACTAAACCGAAGAAATATTTCCTCAACGTAAAGAATAATTATCTGACCGAAGTAAATTGGAATTAATCGGATGCAACTTGTCTTCGGAATTGTGAGAATGGATTTGAGTTTGCTTAAAAGTCATTGAATTAATGAGAGATTTCTTTGGTTCGATGTGTGTTCTTTCTTTCTCAGGGTGGTTTTGGAAGACCAGGAACAAGGCTGGAAGGTGGGGCGAGGTTTTAGACCTCGAGGTCAGGTTAGGTTTGGTTGAAGACGTTCGATCTAGTCGGATCGACGGAGTATTAATGAATTTTATCTGCCAAGAATGACCGAGATAGTCGCTAGTCGAATGTCCTGCCGCTGGTACGGCAGGTTAATAAAATCGCCGGAAGGAACTGACGTCTCCACGCGTCGAGAGTAAACTAGGGAGACGGTAATATATGATCAAATGTTTGCGATAAATAGACAATGTTAGGAAAACAATTTGGAGTTTGCGTTTCCGGAGGGAACGAGCCGGGCGGTTCGGCGGTTCTTCAAACGTCATGGTTGTATGGTGAGATATATCGTCGAGAGCAGGAACCGAGCTCGTCCCCCTTTTTATTTCCGTATCATGAAACGATCGAAACAATTGAAACGATCGAAACGCCAAAGAGGGGCGAAAGCCATGAAAGGTGGGGAAAACACCAGCCGCGGATTCCGCATCGCGGCGGCCCGGGGCGATTATAATTTTTTCCTCGACGAAACCCGCCGGACTGATTAACCGGGATGAATTTCACCGGCGTGTTAATAATGCGTCATAAATCCAGCTCGTTCCGCGACGAGTAATTATTTTCGAGAAGGAGCTTTACCCGGTCGGCGAGGGGTCCGGCTCCCTTAAGGCTCATACTCCAAGAGACGCCCCGGGAATGTGGGCTTTACGGAAAGTGGATTTACCGCACGCACCGGTTAAGGGGTTTCGTTTGTCTAACCCGTCGGCAAAACCCTGGGTTGCCGGATTAAATTACCCGAAATTGAATTAGAGCATTTGCATGCGTAATTCCGCGAAAAGAACTCGAAGGTTTCGAGTCCTTCGGGAGGAAAAGGTGCACGGGATCCCGAGATGTCTCTCGCGGCCCCGCAGGAGGAATCCTCCCTCCTATCGGACGATTTGCCAGAATTTCCCCGGTATTATTCGTTTCCAAGTGACGGGGGTGCCGAGGGTGATATCGCCCGGGAACGGACACGTAAGCCGACGATAAGCTCTATCATTCCCGGGCGCCGACTTTGGGAATGACGATTACCCTCCGCAACGAGTGGGGATTGTTTGCACTAGGGGTGGCAAGAAGTTTGCCGAGCATGGTTCTTCAAATGCTTGCAACAAACTTTGTTCCTCGTGCGGGGGCGCGTGGAAGCTCTTGGCTTGGAATCCTCATAAGGGGATTTACCAAGTCGAGCGGCAACCGAATTTGGCAGGGAGCCGGGGCGCCCGAATTTCGAGACGTCAGTAGGAATAAGAGTCTCGTTAGCATAGCACGGGGCTTACTTTACAGGTGTTCCCGGCGAAGATCCCACCAGGAGATCTCTGACGGCGGGAAGCAACTTTGGCTGCCATCGCGCTCCATTTTTCCCTTTTCCTTTTTTTTTTTCGAGTCGATGGGTATCCATCGAGTTACGATTCCCCAAGGGTTCGGCATAGTTTCGCCGGCCATTCCAGATTCTAGAGATCCTCCAGAATGGAGTTAATTTCCGAAGGGACCAGTGGCGGCACATCGATCGCGGCCAGTCTTGGCACATCTCGTTGCAATCCTGCACACGGCCCGTGTTTTGTGAATATTTGCCCAATATTACCTCCGTCCTTTTGATCAATATTTGTCTCTTATGTCAGGTCGGGTCGAGGCGACTAGAGGGCCAGGGATTGCAAATAGGCTCGGTCAATAGGTGGGGATTCCTCCACCCTCGACATTTCCTTACACTCAAGCGCTCGAAAGTCTCTCCTCGGACAATTATGGTCGTCGAACAAAATCAGCGCACTGAGAGAAGAAAATTAATTACCCGAAACGAATATACATAACGTGGCCTGAATCGTATATGACTCCAAGAAACAATTATTTCGCCAAGGTGAAAAATCGATGTTGCTGGATTAAACGATCCTTTTTCACTCGGACATTTTTTTTGGACGCGTATGATCGCAGAATTTTATTGTCGCATATTTCTTTAAATTAACCAATTGTTTTTTTTTCTTAGTATTTAAATGTCGAAGAAGTCCCTCCCGTTTAGCGTGGTGGTTTATCAGGGAGCGATGGGTGCCGGCAACCTTATCACGGGTATCACGTAACCGGGTTCATGGGGTACTAATTACCGTCGACCACTGACAAGTGCGGGCAAAACCGAGAGGGTGCGAGCACGTAGGTCCGCTCCTATCTCGGGATTTCCTGGGTGGATGCAAAACCGCGGAATTATGGAGCCACCCATCTTCGCGGAAGGGTTACTATTTTTCCCCTAGGAGGGAACCTCGGTTGCCCGCCTAGGGAGCCTGTTAGCTACCGAATTTACCCCTTTCGCGGTTTCTCGATCCGCCCGAGAAAACGAAGCCCTCTCGCTTCCTTCCCGCTCCACAAAGCCGAGACCGAGTCCTCGTCGCCGAAGTCTCCATTGTCGTTCGCCGCCATTGTCGGTCTAAACAAAACCTTCAATTAAAACGAGGGAAGCGATAACGCGCCGGGAAAATGGACGATATAACGAAGGGAATCGGCAGCCCCATTCTTCGGATTAACGAGCCCGAAATTCGGCCGGTTAAAGTCGCAATCTTAAGGGGATGTGAAAGCGGCACCCGAAAGCTCAATCGTTCACAAAACTTTTCTACGAGGTGGGTGTCTCAAATCGTTTCATACTTTAATCCGTGAATATGGAGACCCTAAGGTAGGTCCTGAAACTCGCGAAACTTCATTTTTTATAAACTATTTTTGTTATATATCTTTTATACCCTTCCTGGCGGTTCTCGGTTAAAAAATAAAAAACCGTGAAAGTAGCAAGCGGAAGGTAGAGAAATAATTCCTAAATCACGACGAGGAATTAATTTCAAGGGAAGTGGAATACCTTCCGACTTTAAGGTGGTCGTCGTCGAAAATGGCGCCGTTAAACGCGACGGAAGCGGCAACGATTCCGGATCGCGCGGGCTTTATGCCAGGGCGTGACAGCGCGGCAATGATCCATCAAAGAGCCGCGAAATGAAACGCGCGATTAGCCTCTGGAAACCGAATTAATATCGGGGAAAACCCAACCGCGCGATCCGGCTTCAATTAGAGCGGCGCGCGATGTGTTTGCACCGCGGGTCGGTGCACCTATTCCTTCGAGCCCGCGTGCGGAGAGTTTGCTTTTACGCGGCGGAGTGCCGGCGCGGAATCGCGGCCTCGAATTAGTCTCCCCGCGTTAATCGCGAGAGGTAAATCGCGAGCCCCCGGTCGATTGACATCGTGGCAAAGTCGGTGCCAAGAAGAAAGCGGAATGGTCGCGGCTCGCTTTGAGGTTAGGTCGCCTTTTTACGGATTCGGGCGCGGTAAACCGAGACGAGTCGCCCGGCTCGCTGTTAATTAGCCAACGGCTTCATGAAACAGTTAATAATAATTCCCCGAGGTCTCGGAAGGCGCCCTCGAACTTTCCGCCACTCTTTTGCAATTCCAACGGTTTCCGGCTCTGCACTTGACGTCCCTTCGCGGTCTTAACGGCGACCCTCGGAAGAGCGCGCCTCCGCCTTCGCCCTCGAGACGCACGACGCGTCGCCATAAAGCACGGCGATGACGACAGGGAGTTTTATATTCCGCCGGAGGAAACAAGAGCGCGGCATAATTTGCCAGGTTGCCCGTTTCTTATAACACCCGACGCGATACGAGGCGTCCTCGTAGAAATAAATCCCTCTCCACGGGTCTCGCTCTCCCTGCGCGCGTCGTCGATTCCAATATGGCGGCCGTCGACCTCGGCCCCCCAGTTCGGTCCTTCCGACCCGTAAAATCTCGCCAGGGGAGGACAAAATGCCCCGAGTCCCTCCCTTCCTCATCCCGTAATAACCTCCGCGAATCCATTTCGCGGGGAAACGTCCCGGAGGCGGCGAATCTCGTTGTAAAAACGCGAGGTGCCGTCTCCGGGGGCCTTTAATGGCGGCGCTCGGGGCCGTCTTAACGCGCCATCTATCGGCGTCGCGCGAACCTCCGGGGCGTAAAACTCGACGTGCCGCCCAAGAGACGGCCGTCTTCGGAACGCAATCCGCGTCCATACAAAGGACTTCATTTAGCGTCGTATCGAGAGTTTCCGCGCGGCACCTCGCGGCGTCCTTCGCCCCGGCAAAGACGGGCCCCGGGGAGGAAGGGAGGGGAAGAGCCGGATCCGCGGAGATGAAAGCGTTTAGCACGAAGGCCCCTCCTTGGCGCACCCCGGGCTCGGCGGAAAGCATCGAGAGTATGATTAAAGAATGGCTGCACTCGTGCTCGCGCGTGCACTCGCGACAAAATCGCCTGTCGCTTTTGTTTCCGCCAAACGACGGGGGCGCCCCTTCCACCATATCTCATTTTTTTACTTTTACTCGGATAGGTCCAAACCCTCGAATTACCGAATAGCCCGATTTTAATCCCGCGAAGTGACGGTCCCTCTCGTCGCTTAAGCTGCCTCCCTTTGTCGGTACCCGAAATCCTCTCGGGCGACATCCGGCGAGTGTACTTGGCGCGGCGCGCCGCGCGCCAAGTACACGCCCGAACGATCTCGAGGACGTAGAGAACGGGGATGGCGTCTCGCTTCGTCGTTTTTGCATGCTCTATCAAAAGGGGGGAGCCTGATAAACAGGCGCGCAATCATCCCTCCGCGGCCGGGTCTCCTTCGGGGCGCCGCCGAGAACAATGGCGGCTCCGCGTACAAGGGAGTCATTAAAATCCCCCGAATTACTGTCGCGCATCGCGCCAAATCGCTCCTGCCGGGGGATCATTTTAATTCCACAAAGTGCGGAGCCCTGGGATTCTCGCGGCTCCGCGAGCACGAGGAATTGGGAATTTGCGAGGACACGGGATTTCCGGCTCCCGAAACCGCGAGGAGTGCACTCGGTCCGGCGAGCGTCGCGGAAACGCGGAAAGTGCGGAAAGGACGGAGATCTTTCTCTCTCGAGGGCGATCGCTCGACTCGGCGGGAAATGGTCGCGGGGGAGACGCGCCGTCTATTTACGCGAGGCATCGCGAATGGCGCCCCTTGGAACGCGGGTTTTTCCCGCCTCCTCCCTTTTATTTCCTCGGCCCTCCACCGGAACGCGGCATTATGCGATTACGCGCGGCCCTCCGCCGGCCGCGCGCGTCCTCGTGGCTCTCTCCGCTCGCCGCGCGGAATTGCCGCGGTGCCGACCCCGGCCGATTCAGCCCTTCCGCTTTTGTCTCGGCGGGGCGGAACGCGCCCGCCCCGATACACCGAGTCGAGCGGGTGTCTCGCGTGTGTCTCCTTTTCAAAAGGGGGACAGGTTTGATAAACACCCACGGCCGCACAATCGTCCCGCAGCGTTCGCAAACTACCGCGCCGACGACGTCCGGAACTTTCTTCGGACGGCGTTGACAAGAACAATGGCGACTTCCGCCGGCCCCCGCCCCGCGTCCCGCGTCTGCGCGAGCTCGACACTCCACCGGCCCAGAATCCGTCCTCATGTTTTTTCAACCCTCCGACGCGTCTCACCTCGGACACTGTTCCTCCGTTTTCCAGGTTTAAGGCGGGACGAAAGTGGCAACTCGATCCTTTGCGACACATTTCTCCAAACCACGCGTACCGAGCCCTTTCAAACTTTGCCACATGAATATAGAGACACCAAGGAAGGTCGCGACAATCATGAGATTTCATTATAAAACATTCTTTCGTGTCCGTAAATAAATTTTTTTCTTTTTTAAGTGAAAATCCAGGCAATTTTGTAGATGTCATTCGTCCTGCCTCGAGTCGTATGCCGAATCAACCAGAGAGAATTTGCCACGCTTCGATTGCTCGTCCACATTTGTATGCTCGTTCTTGCCCCGTATG